TGGAGTAAATATAATTATTGGAGTGCACCGTCACTCGTATGGAACGCACAAAAGCTCACCAGACGCAAAATTGACGTTGTTCGGGCTAAACTGAAAGTGGTAACACATACCTATCGCAATGTGTACCCTGGTTTGGCTATTCATAATTGTATCCGCATGCCACTTTGATGTTAAACATGGCGGCGCACATAAACGACTCAAGAACACAACGTACCTGGCTTGACACACCCAGCGACCACGCAGACCGATAGGGGCCGAGCGCTGCTCGCCCCGCGCACAAGTACGGACCGAGCACGGTCAGCCCCGTAGACGGGTCCAGACCGAGCACGGCGAAATGAGATAGGCACGGACCGAGCACGGTTCATTTGGCACATCTAGTGCAAAAATCTGCAGCAGACAACAGGCCCGCCACACTCGCCACTTACTCGCACCCCTGTCGGCGGCACGACCGCGAGATGGGAGGACGTATCGGATCGAAGTGCACTGCAATGGCTAGTCCCTTAAAGGAAGCGTTCCACCTTTGTATGAGGTTTTGAACTGAAATAGCCATTTCGGAGATCATTCGGTGCAGCTCACAGCCCTGCATTTGTTAAGACCTAAGCCTTGCCAGCTTCTGAGTTACGCGCCCGCCGAGATGTGCGGACTTTTTGGGGAAGCTATTTCAAGATCACCCAGGCGCCCATGACACCATAATGTCACTTGAATTAAGCATTCAATTAGCCATGTGGCGATAAAGACCAACAAAAATGTAATAGTCGAGTCGCTCATATCTGGCGTTTGTGGGTACGATTTTCATAACGGCAGTCAATGGGGTCTTAATCAAAGTTTTGTAATGTACGATGACGTAATCAAACAATGACGTATTGAGGAACATATTTACTAAGCACAGAAATTGTGTTTTCCAGAGCAGTCTTTTTAAATTAACCGTATACCAACAGTCATAAGTGAGCTTATTTCATCATATCTGATGCTTGCTTCAGTATCTTTAAATGCTGAACATTCCTTTTAAGGTTGCCACGTGCATCATTATATTCGTCGCTAAATGTTACGCGTTCGACCCGCTGGTCATACACATCTGCCATTAACATGCTGCTCGTCATCGATACCAAGGCAGCCCGATGTTCCTACGCCTGGGGGCGAATGAGTCTGCGTACATCGTCGCTTCTCAGGCTATTGCGTATTAATGGTTTGCGACATAGGCTTACAAATTACAGCATCATGCTCATCATAAAATTATAAGCGGCTGGCTGGCTGGTCATGTGCATCTCTCGCTGACGGATTTCTTATTATCTGTACAAGCATTTCGATGTTCCGGTTGCCCCTAAGCATTACGTCCAGCTCCTAGCGGCCCGTTAGGCGCTGCAAGCAGCCTTCATCTCATGATTCAAAACATGCTCATGCTTCCTTTCCTCATTACTCACTCATTTGCGTAGTCAACAGCCTTTAGAGAGGTCAACCAACACCATTGCTTTTTTATTCAATTATCACCCTCTTGGCGGTTTGAAGCCTCACCATCCGCCCTCTCGCCGGCCATATAGATTCTGAATGGTTTACTGCGGGTAGCTATTCCCTCTATGCCACTTTACCTATAAAATAGATAGACAGTCGAGAGCAGAGACAGCGGAAGCGGGGACGATGGAAGTGGCGGATGCAGCCGCGCTATGTCTTGAAAGTCACGTCTCACACCCTGCGGGGTTGGACGCAAAGAATTGAGGTACAACTACGGTGTTCCCGACTCTCCTGTCGTTACGCATCGTCAGTGCTTACGAAACAGATGTCAGTAAATTATTTTGGTGGCCGGGCATGCCGACATGTTTCGCTTCATTCTTGTGATCTCAAAAGCGGCATGCAAAGCGTTTAACAGATGTCACGTTAGTCCTTTTTTAAGTTGAACCTTCAGGTTATGAATTTAACATTCTGTCTGCCAACAAATTTTGAAAAAAATCATCGCAGAATCGAGTGATCTTAACCTTATCCAGCGCCCAAAAAACACCAAATGAAAAAGTAAGCACATTCACAATAAGCGTTTTAGTTTTGGTGACAAATGAAAATAAAGTACAGATGTGTGCAGCATTAGCGTATCTGTAAATGTTTTGGCATTTTACTGCTGCCGTCACGCTGTGCCACGCCGGTGCTAGTGAGACAACGCTCCTGGTTACAAACGGTCAGAAAAATCCGAACCTACCGCCGATCTTCAAGACATACTGCACAGTCCGGCGCCGTTGAGCCGGTGATGAGCAGGTTATGAGCCGCCCACGCACCGATTTAAGGGCACATCGCTTCAGATAAGGCAGCTGACACTATTTTCCAAATTTTCGACTGGTTGTTCCATTACTACCTGCCCATATTAGACAAGTAAAGGCTGATGATGTGCACCCTGGTGAAGAGTCACCATTTATCTGATCTAGGATCAAATGACTCTCAAACTGACTTTCGGGTTTTGACTGCAGCTGCCCGCCCGAGGACGCGGGCACCGAAGAGGGAGGGGGGGAGGGAGTTCAGAGGGGGCAGTTCGCCTGAAACTGGGGGGTGCGGCGCCCCCTTACCCAAACTTAGAAGGTTTGTGGGGCGCCCATTCCGGTATTTTAAGGGCCTTTTCCAAATGGTAAAGGGATGATGCAAGCCTGTAGATGTCCATTCTGACTTGTGGAGGGCCCATTCTGGTCTGTTTAGGATTCATTTTGACCAGAAGAGGACACATCTGAGCCTGCAAAGGGCCCATTCTGACCCGAAGTAGGCCATTATCGACCGTAAAGGGTTCATTCCGGTCTTTAGAGGACCCATTCTGACATTTAGAGGCCCATTCTGGCCTGTAGAGAGGTCGTTATGGCCTGCGGAAGGCCCGTTATGAAATGTAAAGGGTTCATTATTGACTGTTGCGGGCCTGTTCTGGCCTGTGCATGACGCATTCTGACCTGCAGAGGGCTATTGTTGACTGTTGACGGCTCATTATGACATGTAGAGTGCCCATTCTGACCTGTGGAAGGCCTAATACCGAAAGTGGAGGGCCCATCCTGGCATGTTCAGGGGTTATTTAGGCTTGTCGAGGGCCCATTATTGATTGGATAGAGCCCATTCTGACATGTGGAGAAGACTTTATGGGCTGCGGAGGCCCCTGGCACTTCCACTGGCGTGTCGTTGGCGGGCAGTCATGCCAATAGTTATCCGACAATCACTGTTGGCTGCTTGAACCTTGGGGCAGGAATGTTTCTTATCCTGAAAATGTCCGTTGAAATTACTCAAATAGTGCGCCTATGTGCAGGTTTATTCGCAACTTGTGTATCAGTTTAGCTCGTGACTGACATTGACACGCTAGACGATTCAGAAATTAATTCATGAACGATACGCTTGAACGTTACGCATGAACGGCCCTAAGGTATGCCGAATGTTACATGCTAACTGAATGATTATTTGTGGTTTAACGATAATATTTCTGTTCTTAAGAGGATCTAAACAAAGCTAAGAATCCTGCTATATTAAAATAAGTGAGCAAATAAAAAGAATGTGATGCAAGTAAATTTCGAACGTGACGTAAATATTTATATTTATCTATACAAACCTATCGACAGCAAATTACGTAAGCATTCATGAATATGCAATCCAGGACATTTCCGTCCAAGCTACGGAGCTATATTACGACTACGTTTGCTTGAGTGCCCCTATCTACGCGTACAGTCATGGTGAACAGTGGGCGTCTATTGATGTCACAAAGTTGTCCGTGGATCTATTTCTGCTCGTGGTCAATACCTGTGTTTGAGTGGATGATACATTGCCAGGCAGACCGGCGGGCTGTGTATTGTCTGGGCTGGTCCAATACCTGTCTGCTAAAATTTGGTCGTTTAGGCCCAGGAGCCAAACTGTGTCGACAACAATGAAGCCGCGCTCTCTGTTTACCCTACACCGGAAAGGAACTGAGTGGCTATGGTCAAATGACAAACGGAAAATGTGGGAAGATGTTCACAGCGAACGCCGGTATGGAATCGGAGGAGGGAGGAATTACAACTCAGACCTTGGACGTAGCATTTCCATGGGGTGGCAGCATTTCAGTGAGGTTGCTACGGCGTCATGCGTGCATGGATGATGTGGAAATTGCCTGCACGAAATAGTCTGCCGATCTTCGCATAGTTGTAGTGTTGTAGTAGTGCAGTGTACATGTAGTTCAGAAACTAGAGGATTTGAGGTTTCAAGGCAACATTATCAATTGAACTGAGTGCTATGGCTTGGTTGGTGGGTTCGGGATACACACAACAACTATTCCTTGGCTACTCCTAACCCGGAGCCAAACGTGCAAATTCTTCTGAACAAAAATACAGGGTTTCCCGTTTCCAACAAACGTTTTCCAATCAGCGCGTTTTCGTCGCGTGATTAAGGAGGGAGGGAGTGATAAGGTGGGTGCGAGCGCCCTCTGTGCCCCCCCTTGTTTCAGAATGTGTTCACAATACGATTAAAAACGTCAGCGCTAAGTCCTATATCCTTCGAACACATGCGTAAGAAATCATCTCTGAAGATTGCACGCTGCATCACTGAATTGCAAAGCAATGCATGCTGCTCCATTGCATTATTCAAGATCCCTGACATTTCACCGTGCGTTCAAATAGAGTCACCGTCGCTCAAAAGCTGACCCCACCTGGCGTTCCTTCGCTAGAATGAACCGTTCGTGGTTCTGTTTCGTGCGGAACGGTGCTTTCACACCACCGCTTAGTGCTAGGGTAGCCGGTTCCGATCAGCTACCACCTGGCCGGTACGCATGATCGACTCACACTGCTCACGTCCTCAGGAACTGTAATCTAGTGCCGGTGAACTGAAGCTCTGAATGTTTTCCTTCATCGAATGACATAACAAATTTAAGTTGCTTACGTGGATAAGCAATACTGCTGCTTTCGATGTGTGCTGGTGATTTGACCTGGCACCGGACCACAAGACGAGTGTAAGAGCAAGCCTGTGTCGAATGTGCGCAGTGATATCTGTCCTGCGTCTTTGAAACGGTTTGTTTCTTTCAGATGATACCGCCGATAATGCGAGCCAGAAACTATGGGGAGCCGCTGAAGGAGAAGAAGTACTACAGCGACCGGCTTCTGCGCTGGCTCAGCTGAATGACGACTCGAGCACGCAAAAACCACGTACGCATAGCGCTGCAATCAACACTTGTGGTGGAGGACGACAGAACCCTTGGGCAGCAATATCACCACAAAACGCGTGCAATGGAAGCATGCCACTGATTACGTGGTTGTGTCGTGGTGTTCCTCTGAGGACCGTTCTCTTTTGGTGTTTGTCGAAACGATTGAAAACGCGGGTATTTTCTGAGAACTCCGAGCTTGGGGGCATGTCAAGAGAGCATGACCTCCTCATGCATCAAAGCCCGCAACACAGGCGTCAGCGTTAACACGATGCTTGACCGTCAGGCCGTCGGCAGTGGTTCATGGACGACGTCTTGGTGTTTCATTCGCTGTTTCCGCTAACGACCGAATAAAGTCGCCTCCGATTCCATCACCGCCTGGCTGTGGGGGAAGTGACGGCGCGAATGCGGATTCCGAAGCAAGCAAACGTTTGGCAGCCTGAGACGCAAGTGGCACACGCATGGAGTGAACACAATTGTGAGAAATGCGTGTTTACGTGTGCTCACCATCGACCCACGCACCTGATGGCGTTTGCGCCGCACTGATGCCGCGTGCAAACGCCAGTAGGTGTAAGAGCGGCGGGTAATAGCGGCGGGTAAGAGCGGCGTGTAAGAGCGGTGGGTAAGAGCGGCGTGCAAGAGCGGCATGTAAGAGCGGCGGGTAGGAGCGGCGTGTAAGGGCGGCGGTTAAGAGCGGCGGGTAAGAGCGACGTGTAAGAGCGGCGGGTAAGAGCGACGTGTAAGAGCGGCGGGTAGGAGCGGCGTGTAAGAGCGGCGGGTAAGAGCGACGTGTAAGAGCGGCGGGTAAGAGCGGCGTGTAAGAGCGGCGGGTAAGAGCGACGTGTAAGAGGGGCGGATAAGAGCGGCGGGTAAGAGCGGCGGGTAGGAGCGGCGTGTAAGAGCGGCGGGTAAGAGCGGCGGGTAAGAGCGACGTGTAAGAGCGACGTGTAGGAGCGGCGTGTAAGAGCGGCGGGTAAGAGCGACGTGTAAGAGCGGCGGGTAGGAGCGGCGTGTAAGAGCGGCGGGTAAGAGCGGCGTGTAAGAGCGGCGGGTAAGAGCGGCGGGTAAGAGCGACGTGCAAGAGCGGCGGGTAGGAGCGGCGTGTAAGAGCGGCGGGTAAGAGCGGCGGGTAAGAGCGGCGGGTAAGAGTGGCGGGTGAGAGCGGCGGGTAAGAGCGGCGTGTAAGAGCGGCGGGTAAGAGCGGCGGGTAAGAGCGACGTGTAGGAGCGGCGTGTAAGAGCGGCGGGTAAGAGCGACGTGTAAGAGCGGCGGGTAGGAGCGGCGGGTAAGAGCGGCGGGTAAGAGCGGCGTGTAAGAGTGGCGGGTAAGAGCGGCGGGTAAGAGCGGCGGGTAGGAGCGGCGTGTAAGAGCGACGTGTAAGAGCGGCGGGTAGGAGCGGCGTGTAAGAGCGGCGGGTAAGAGCGGCGTGTAAGAGTGGCGGGTAAGAGCGGCGGGTAAGAGCGGCGGGTAAGAGTGGCGGGTGAGAGCGGCGGGTAAGAGCGGCGTGTAAGAGCGGCGGGTAAGAGCGGCGGGTAAGAGTGGCGGGTAAGAGCGGCGGGTAAGAGCGGCGGGTAAGAACGGCGGGTAAGAGCCGCGCTGACGTGCGGGCTGCGTAACTCGACACGCTCGTCGAGACCGGCAGTCGACGCTAGCCAGGACGCCTGACGAATCGGCCTGTCCGACTAATTGCGTTAGCGGCGCCGTTTGGTTCAGCTTGCTTCAAGCCGGATGCCATCGGAGACGTGGCCGGCTTACCGCCTGGTCCGCTGCTGCGGCGGCCGTCCAACTCATCGGTCAAACCGTACCCCGCCGGCTTCAGTCATCGTCGGACCGCCACTGAAAACTAAGGGTCGAAAGCGTGGAACGGCCCTCACTTTTTGGCGCTTCAGTCACATGAAATGGACTTACTCTCAAGCAAGCACTTGTTGATGCTTTTGGATCAGTCAATATATGCATATATATATATATATATATATATATATATATATATATATATATATATATATATGTATATATATATATAGAATATGTGTGTGTTACTATAATTTATTGCGTATATTTATATTCATGCTACCTCTGGCAATGGCTCTTTCCGTGAATAGATCACATGCTCACGTATTTTCCACACATACGCTGCAAATGAACCCTTCCTGAGCAGCAGGCTTTGCAGTAACTGCAGTGACAGTCTCATTTGTTGTGCTTTCCATTCGCATTCTACCTCTTAGAAATTGCCAAATGCTAGGCATTTAATGCGTCAGGAGCTTCCATTTATCATACAGTGTGTACTGTTAGTGTAAGGCCTGCTTCGTGGGACACGGCGTCTTTCGATTACCACTCGCTGTGTGCACTCATAATGGTGTGTACATTTATATATATATATATATATATATATATATATATATATATATATATATATATATATATATATATATATATATATATATATATATATATATATATATATACATGTGTGTGTGTGTGTGCGTGTGTGTGTGTGCGTGTGTGCGTGTGTGCGTGTCTGTGTGTGTGTGTGTGTGTGTGTGTGTGTGTGTGTGTGTGTGTGTGTGTGTGTGTGTGTGTGTGTGTGTGTGTGTGTGTGTGTGTGTGTGTGTGTGTGTGTGTGTGTGTGTGTGTGTGTGTGTGTGTGTGTGTGTGTGTGTGTGTGTGTGTGTGTGTGTGTGTGTGTGTGTGTGTGTGTGTGTGTGTGTGTGTGTGTGTGTGTGTGTGTGTGTGTGTGTGTGTGTGTGTGTGTGCGTGTGCGTGAGCGCGTGCGGGTGCGTCAGATGGATCACGGAGTCATAAGGCAGCGAGCCAGGGGTGTATTGGATCTTTGATCTGCGTGAGTCAGTTGCCAGGTGGTTTAACGCAAACGATGAGTCTGAACCGAGATGGAAAATTTTGAGCAGCTATGAATCATGAGCTGAATCGAATCTCAGAACCTGTGAACCGCTACTGAGCCGGCTTAAAAATTAGGTCAAACCCAAGTCTGTTCCAGAGGCGTCAATTTTTGCAAATGGTTCATAGCGATGGGAAGCCAGAACGTATAGACTTGTACTCCCTAAAAAACACTTTCCGAACTTAGTGTTCAGCATTCAGTCTTGGACCCATAGCGCCACCAGAACGGTGCCGCTATGAAGGAGAAGAACCACCAAAGTCGTGTTTTTCGTAGTGGACCCCGAATACCATCAGGCTTATAACACACATACAACACATTGAGGCATACAACTCGTCAGACGAGGACGCAAAAATAGGACCAGGTGTAATTCACAAGTCATTCTGACCCATATCCACCTAAAGTATTGACGTTTTTCGGCACTTCATCGCAATCGATTGAGGCAACAGTCACCTTGAAATTAATTATTGCATCGGTTTTAGCTCTCCGTTCTTTGGTCTGTTGCCGCTGTATATTGACACTAAAGCGGCCAACAGTGCTCAAAAGATTTAACAGATGATTTTGCCACACGTAATTCATAGCTTCGTTATTAAAACTTAACCCGTGCCCGGCCAGGGGAGTTAGCTTCCTCCTTAAGGGTTTTTTAGCACAGGTGAAAAATGAGCGCTTCAGGCCACACAGAGATTTCTGCGCCTGTTAATCTGTCAATTTGGCATCCATTGCGCAAATTTGAAGGTTTGATCTATCAATATGAGTGGTGTATAGTTCAGGTTAAGGAGGTCAACCTCTAAAAAACTTTGATCACACTTACCCGTTTGTGGGTCATTTGCTATAGTTAGAACTTTTTATGGTAAAAGGACATGCTAGTACCTACAGGTTGTATGTTTCAGATTTTTCGGAAACCGTAAGGTTATTGACCTGAGGTCAGGTAAATTTTTGCTATTTTTCGCAAATGATGCAAGTTTGTATGTATTGTTGTGTAGTTGTGGTGTTTGTACATAATGAAAAGGGTGTTATCTTACATGGACAATTGATGCCTGACCGCAGAGCACATGACCTTGGCCCAGGTTGTGACTTACCTCTATGAGGAGCTTCTGCAAAACACATGCTCAGCTAGTGATGTGACATGAATAGGCCAAGTGATGACATGCAAGGTTACATGAGGTCACCCCAGGTCAATGACCTATGCTGCCCGCAGAGGAAAGGCTTTATGAGCAAGAGCGACCCGCGTGACCACCTCCTTATCGTGTTTGTGAAGCTGATGACGCAAGATATCATGTACCAACGTGTTTGTTTTTTGTTTGTACCCTGTTCCTGTTCGCGTCCTCCCTCTGTGCCCGGATGTTTTCTTCTAGCACTATATGTCCTGGCAGAAAGCTAAAACTCAGCAGCACGGGTTCCCACTCAGCATATCCTCCCCCTTAAGAAAATTCTGGCCGTACCTCTGCTGGCCGAACGGAGAGGTGGGATCAGCGGCACGAATTGCGGATACGCAGAGTGTTCATGTGGCCCGAACGTTCCGGATCCATTAGCACTCCTATTGCAGGGTACCTCGAGGTCGACGTCCATATGAAAACACGGTATGCGCAATCAAACGTAGCTGGGCCTTGCACGCCCCAGGTGGATGCCAAATGCTCTTCTCTCCCTTATCATCCGCTGGCATCGTCATTGTCTGGCGAACATGCCAGAACACCGTGCCCTGAAAAGCATATCCTCACAAACACCACGCAGCAGCGGTACACCTCCAGCACCTGGTGGCCCCCCTGTATGTGGCGGCAGGTGCACCAGGCCGACTGGGCCGTGGTCCATACCGGCCCGTGCCGCCGTACAGATAAGCCGGGTCAGCCGGTCCCTGAAGCGGAGCCGCTCAGATAAGCTCGGCCGGCGCCGTCTATCGCCGCCGGGCGGGACGGAGGAGCGCGGTCTGGGCCCACACCGCGCCAGCCAGGGCGGCGGTCGGGTCAGGCGTGGGGAGAGGGCGGGGGCGCCGGCGGTGGGCGGCGAGGGCGGCATTGTGGGCGGTGTGGTGGGTGCGAGAGAGTGTGACACTGAGTCCAGCGGAGGCGAGTGTCTCTGCTGGTCACACTGCATTCTGCGTCGGCGGATAAGGCATGACGCAACACTCAGACGCCTCTCATCTTGACGCAACATTTTGGCGCCTCATAAGAACCAGGTAGAAGCTCTCGGTTGTATTTGTTTGTAAGAGAGGCTTTTAATATTTGTATTGCACCCAAATATGCAATAATAATAACATGCCGATCTCGAGTCCAGTCTCAGTCAGGAGGTCTGCATTACGTTTTGTCTTTTCGGCATGCATTCACAGTCCAGAACTTCATCGCATTATTCCCGTATCATAACGTCATGCTGGTACAAGAGCTAAGTTTATGTAAAACAACAATATACTCAGATGTGTGCAACTATCCCATACACCACATCTCCCTGCCACGTATTTACATCATGCGGCTCTGCAAACACTTCCATCACTGGTTGTTCCAGATGGTAATAAAGGCCCTCGTGCAAGGCCGCACAAATCTTCCAACGCTCCATTTCCGACGCCATCACACACGCGCTGAGTTTTGTGGATATCTGCTGGTCACGATCGTAACTTTGAGTAAACATTCTTCAGTATGTTTATCCGCGGATAAACAGACGCAATTAGCATACGCTGAAAATCACCACCGAGTTCTGCGATGACAGCCATTTAAAGATCAGACGAAAAAACAGGAGACGCCAATGCACTGCTTGTCTCTGGACAAAAGCGCTGGTGATTCAATTTCACGACGGCCGGTATAGTCGTTCCTGATGTGCTGTTCGATAACCCAATCAGCTAAATAGTGACACGAAGAAAGATGTCCTTTTTCTTGAAGTAGCTCATGGTGTTATCGAACTCCAAGTAATCTGTGAAAAGCAACAGTCGTTTTACGGAGAGCCTGTTCTCATATTCATCTGTGCATGGCTCGCTATGCTATCGCCGTGAGCTTTCATGGCTTCAGCCTGCACTGCGAAGCTGAGGGCTTATTACGTCCTCTGCACTGCACCGCATAAATCATGCAATGAAACTTCATTGCAGTTGAACTGAAAGTTTTTAATTATCTTGCCCATTCTGAAACAAAAAAGTGCCAGTTGTACTAGACATGTTTTTGCTGCTAGTTGGATTCAGGATCCATGAACGCACAAACTTTAAACGCTTGATAATAAACTTGTCACGCTTCTCTGGGCATGGAACAGCAATCAGGTCCAGTGTTGGCTCCTTACACCTAAATGAGCCGGCATTTCCAATATATCCATCGGCATTTTTCAGCACAAAGCGTACACGATCTCATACGATGGAAAGTTACCACAGCGGGGCATTTGTCACGGGGTGGAGAGGTGACACCGCCATTTTTCACCACTAAACGCGCAGTTTCCGTTCACCATTTATCTTAAATGGATGGCGTGTCACAGCTGCTGAGCACTGTGACTCGATGGCGCGCTACTAACTTCATGAAATATGCCGTCAGTGCGCTGGAGAATATGCTTTATACGTCTGCCACCGACAGGGAAATAGTTTAGGACCCTGGACTGAGATAGTGTGCCTTGAAAGCGTGGAATACTGCCTCATGTGTTGGCCGTGCACGCAATAATACCTACATAGAATACATGGATCATGCATGGAAGAACACACAGTTTTGCCGTCACAAAGAAAATGCGAAATTAATTGTGATATGTGTTCTTACTGGAAGAGTAAATACTGAGCCATCGTGGCTGATGCTCCCTGGCTTGACACAACACTAGCATGCCCACCGATGACAAAGAGAGGAGAACGATTGCTACCCCTAAGCATAACCTCATTGACAGCTCTCTTTGCGTTTTCCTTCTGGCCCTAGCGGACACTGCGCGTACCTTTGACCCCTCACTCTGCCCCGGCCGACCACGTCGCCCGCCAGTGGTGACACCCTCTGCCCAGACCGACCCCGTCGTCCGCCAGTGGTGACACCCTCTGCCCCGATCGGACCCGTCGTCCGCCAGTGGTGACACTGTCTACCCCGATCGGACCCGTCGTCCGCCAGTGCTGACACCCTCTGCCCCGACCGACCCCGTCGTCCGCCAGTGCTGACACCCTCTGCCCCGATCGGACCCGTCGTCCGCCAGTGGTGACACCCTCTGCCCCGACCGACCCCGTCGTCCGCCAGTGCTGACACCCTCTGCCCCGATCGGACCCGTCGTCCGCCAGTGGTGACACCCTCTGCCCCGATCGGACCCGCCGTCCGCCAGTGGTGACACCCTCTGCCCCGACCGACCACGTCGTCCGCCAGTGGTGACACCCTCTGCCCCGATCGACCCCGTCGTCCACCAGTGCTGACACCCTCTGCCCCGGCCGACCCCGTCGTCCGCCAGTGCTGACACCCTCAGCCCAGGCCGACCCCGTCGTCCGCCAGTGGTGACACCCTCTGCCCCGATCGACCCCGTCGTCCACCAGTGCTGACACCCTCTGCCCCGGCCGACCGCTCTGTCCGCGCTCTCTGCGCCGTCGCCGGGTGCGCGGCTGTGTGGGATGGCAGGGCTGTGCCGAGGACGCTCGTGCGACAGAGACTGATGTGCCCTGAGGAGCCACACTCACAGGTGCCCGGATGACTGCAGACCAGGCTGCCCTGCTCTGGGTGCAGGTGACTGAAGGCCTTCTGCGTGGGTCGTAACGTCTCGTCAGCGCCGTCCCCACACCGTTGCACACTGTAGTCGATGTCAACGTCTCGGGTGATGAAAATATACCTGCCAACGACGAGGGGGTGCGAGCTGGTCGAATCTGTCAGTTTGTGATTGGCCAATGGGCCAACAGCCTCTTCGCCCGTATTATATGATTGAATGGGCCGTGGCTTTGCTGCGTTTGCTGAGGCTTGGTCTCGTCACATCCTATCGTGTTCTATCGTGATTAAACCAAACTAAAAATGTTTGGATTAGGGACGACGTGCCCGCATGCCATGACATTTCAATGCAAACGCAGTGTTTTATGTACAAGAAAAACAAGTTCGATGGGCGGGCAGTTCTCCCAACTCCATCTATTTCTGAATTTCACCTAAGTGGCAAGACGTGTCCCCTCGAGCGCTCGACGACAGGCTTACCTCAGGCGGCAGCCACTCGCCTCCACCTGAACCGGATGTCGCGCTCGTGACCCGGCCTTGACCTGCACATGGTGCGGCAGCTGCTTCTCCAGCGCCACCAGCTGCTCGCGGGTGGTTAGCAGCTCGCGTGGTACGCTGACTGCGAAACATATCTGAAAGCGCGCCAGCCGCCAGGTTGGCGAGGTGGGGAACAGTACCCGGCGGGCTGCGCTCATCCCGCAAACGCAATTCATCACGATTCATTAACGCTCATGCCCGATGATTGAGGCATAATGCTCCAATGGCAAACTTGGTTAGGGGATGGCGGCAGCCCGCCGCGCGGACGGCCGCCGCTGCAGGGAGCCGCCGGTGGCAGCGTCGGGGAGATACATGTGCCTGCACGGCCTCACCGCGGGACACATCGGCGAGCTGAATATGCCGAGTCGTCGGCACATCGCTCCGCCGGATGGGGCGACGACCTTCCAAGACCGTGCACATGACGGGGGGGGGGGGGGGGGCGCCGGACGGGACGCACCCTGCTGGGACACCTGGCGTCCCCGTCAGCGTCCACCAGGCTGCCGCCCCAGAAGACCGGCAGCTGGTCCGGCTCCATGAGCTTGAGCAGCTCGTCCTGCCAGCCGGCGGTGCCGAACAGCCGCACCTTGGAGCGGGTGACCTCGTGCAGCAGCGGCGAGATCAGCGCCCAGGCGATCGAGAAGATGGTCGGAGCTGGGGATGCAACAGAGCTCACTTGCACTTTTGGTATGTTCAAATGAAAGTAAAAAAATCAGCCTTTGGCTAAAAAGCACAAACAGAAAACATACTTTTCTATGCCAGAAAACAACGGTAAACCCTGTATGTTAGGTCATTTCCGAGTGCTCCCAGGAATTTCAGATCGGGAATGTAACACAAATGGAACGTGTACACAATAAACCACAAAAAGACGCAAAGACGCGAACATGGATACAGAATCAATCAACCGTCGTGGCAAAGAGGAGAGAATGCACCAGCCCAGTGATTCTGGGTTCCAAGTTGGGGCAGGTGGGCGCCATCTTGAGGTACATCATTTGGTGATACGATACCATATAAAAATAAGGCAACTGAGGTTACAGAGTAAAAAGAGACGCCTTAATTTGTGAGGCGATTTTGGCATGTATATCTCAGCCCCACCGAACAGGGCCGGCCAGAGTACGCGGCTTGTGGAGGACGCTATGTAAACAGCTACTGCGAGGGAGCACAAGGCGCGCGTTTGGAAGGCAGTATCACACTTGCTCAGTGACGTCACCAGCCCAGCTCAGGAACCACAAACGGGCATCCGACTTTATATCATCATCAGCTGCGATCAACGACGACCGTGGTACGCTATCACGTCCCGGGGGAGACTGTTACGCCAAGCAGCTTTACCCCGAAAGCGAGCCATCGGAATGCTCCCGATGCTTTGACGGCGTAAGCGCTCCGCTGCCGGTATAAAAGTCTGCTGTTACCATTGATGACGTAACACCACTGCAGCGTGTCCGGGTAGTTGGCCTCCATGGTCTGTATCCACTGCAGAATGACGTCCAGACCTGCAGCATCCGCGCCGGTCAGCACCCTCCTTCCCCGGATACAGTTTCCAGCGCGTTTGAAACGTTCTAGCTTTTTTATTAGCATTATTATTCGTTCTAGCATCAGTTTTATTCCCACACCTGCGTGAGCATTATCATATCAAAGCCTCAGTTTTTAGCTCGATCCCGTTTGCTCATGTAGCACCCGTACGCAGGCGCCCAACTTCCAGCGACCGATGCTGCGTTGCCACCGAACTGACCCGACCTGTCATCGCCATCCGACTGGAGAGCGAAGCACAGTCCGGCAGCAGGCCCAGGGGCCACCCGGTCCGCAGCTGTCCCACACAGACGCTACGTGGCCGCCTTGTGTGCCGTCCGGCCCCGCATGTCAACCACAGCAGGCAGTGGACCCCTCCTGCCGCACTGAATCCGATCTCAGCAGTCTGCCATCTCGAGCCGCTGGTCGAGACGGGCCTCCCCACACATGTAACGCCGCTGCTGAGCTTGAGCCCTTCGATCCGAGGTGTTTCGCGCTTGTTGTGGGACGCACGACCATAATCGCGTGATTGTGGGATTGATTCACCTGGACCGCCGTTACAGACGTCCATTAGATACGCGTTTCGTGACCGGCGCTGCGTCAAATCCGGGCGAAAGCGTGGGTCTTCAAGCTGACGCAGACACGAATCACCACTTGGGCAACACTTATCGCACCATTGTCACCTGGAACCGGATATGTTCGACAGCAGAGATACAGCCAAGGGGGGGGGGGGGGGATAGGAGCCCACCAGCCGGGACTCTCCCGCGGACCCGTATTTTTGTCGCCGAGGGTGACTCCTGGAAGAAAGTTAACAACCAGCGTGATATGTTTTCATCTGACACCAAAATACGATGGACCCGACAACCGCACAGTGGCACAGCGAGGCTCGCGGTATGTGTCAACGTTAGCACGTAGCATCAATAATCTGCACCATCACGGTTTTGGGAAGACCGAGAGTGGTTTACCAAAATAACCCGGCCGGTAATTGTCTATCATTTGTGGGAGGTGGAACGTCCGGTGCGAGGCGCAAGTGGAAAAAGCAAAGCTTGGACTGCACGGTTCTACGGGCGAAAGAATCAATGGCAAGACGTGTTTAGCGTCACAAATACCGCAAGCAACTCTCTAACTGGGTAATTTCTGTCCCGCAACAACATCCCGCGGGTATCACGGTGGGCAGATTGGTCCCGGCATGCCCGTGCGGAAGAATAATAATATCTGTTTTCTTGAACAATACATAACCTGTTGCATGCTTACATGTATTTCCGGTGTACGAACATTCCCCCTGGGACGCAACCAGTGCCGTGGTAAGGGAGATTGATAAAATGCCCTCTGATGCTAAAAGATCCTCTCCCTAAAAAGGTAAATGACAGGGATGACAAAACTGATTTAGGTGTACGATTTTCTTGATTTTATCTCTGTGATTTCTTTAACTGGAACATAATCCAGAGCTAGCAGAAAGCGTCTTTTGCTGCGCATTTTGGAAGGCAGTAAACTGAGGACAGCGGGCGTTAAATGACTGCATGGAATAAACCTTCGGCGCTATTCATTTTACGATAAATCAATGCACTCTTAGATGGAACTTACAGGCTTTCTCAAAGTTTTGTTCTGGGTTCTACACAGATGTTGAGGATCCGTGGATATTGCATGTAGATCGTGGTGAGGTCAAAAACTGCAATTACGTCATCATCCCGTGTTAATCTGGGAATATTCAAGCTTCGCTCAGAATTGATAGTGAAGGAAATTATGGAGCAAAGCTGGCTAATTGTTTCAGTCAGGCTGGACTTAGACACGCCATGGTATCATAACGTCGTGATGCATCTGAGATGAGAACTATTCGATGTGCTGCGATCCAGTTTTATGGTATCACTGAGGCGTGTCTGCATTCCAGTTTGGTTCCTAGTTCCCACTGCTTTCTTGCACAAAACAAAACCCTGTGTCCTGGTTTCCACTGGTTCTCCCGACAAAACAAAACCATGGATCCTGGTTCCTGTTAAATATTTTGACAAACCAAGATCTTGGATCATTAATCTCACTGGTTCTTTCGGTACAATAAAACCCTGGATCCTGGTTTCGACAGGCTATTTCGAAAAAGCCTAGCCCCGGATCTTTTCCCTTTGCTTATTTACTAGACCATGGGTTTGGTATCTGGTTCCTGGTTCTTATTGGCTCCTTTGAAAGCATTGAACCTTGAATACTGGTCGTCACTGATTTCAAGTACAAGACCCTGACTCATGGTTCTCAGCCACAGAGTCATGCAAGTTACACATGGCAATCCTCATATTTTTGCTTTCATATTCAGTCAAATACCACAGGCAAGTAAAACAGTCAGCCCACCCAGGTATCACCACTGCTACCAACAAAGCTTAACTGATAGTTAAATATCATTGCCCAGAGCTTAGAAGTGAATGCCTTTCAGCTGAAACTATCACCTGGAAGATCCACAAATTTGTAAGAAAACAGAGAAAAGTCACATACTATAGATATGTCAAGCAGCCAGCATGTTTTCATACCACCACTATAACTAACAAAGGTTTATTCTTAGCTGGAATCAGTTAGTTGGTAGAAGTAAGCTGCTTGACATTTACAAACGGGTATCTGACAGTTGAAACCATGTGCTCATTATTGCAAAATAGTAGGGGTGTCGGTTATGAGTGGTGCACTAATCGACCACATTATGGTCTTCAAAAACCCCTCTAGATTTCAAGACAGTTGAAACAGACTGTCAGAATCCCAAGTATTTAACCATCAGGACCTTCGTAAAATACAGAGGTGCAGCTACCAGCTGGCAGCACCTTTTCATCGTAAAAACTTTTATATTTTCCCCTGGTAGAGGCGGGGCAAATGAGGGAGCCGAAGGGGCTGAGACTTTTGACAAATTTAAATTAGATCAGTATAATCTGCATATGCTGTGCTCATGTCTCTCTTGCCTGTCAAACTTGCAAACTCCTATCAAATGGTGCCCTTCTTTTTTATATCGAACCAAAATGTGGTCAGGCACCACGACAGCATAATAGATGAAAGGGATGAGATACAGGTCAGAAATCAGATGCTGGCACAACCAGAGTGGTCTCGATAGTGTGAGTCGGTCACCAATATCTACGAACTTACACAGCTTCCTGATCCCTATATATCGACTTGAAAGGGCAATTCGGTCATTTAGGAGCCTTTTACGTTGCCCTTGATTTCTTTACATTTGCTCGGAGGGTCCTGCACTGCTTATGGGACCCTTCCTGCTGGCGTGCTCGGCAGTCTTGTCAACTAGGGGCCTTCCACGGATTCTTGTTCGCCCGAAAGGCTCTATACGCTACAGCCAGGGTGTATGGGTTTTGACAGGGTATATGTTAACCTGCTGGGATATTCTCGGTTAGCTCAGAAGCCCTTCATAATGGTCTCGGTCAACGTACTGATACGCTCGCGACATGCTCGTGGTCCCCACATTGGTCTAGGGCCTTTCCGGTTCTCTGTCACGTGCTCAGGCCCTACGCTCTTGTCGGGAGACAATATGTTAACCTGCTTGGATACCCTCGATCGTTCAGGGACCCTCCACACTGGGTCTTGATGCTTGTTGTTTGAATGAAGGGCCCTACTCTCTTGTCGGGGCCCTATCTGATAATCTGCTCGGGCACACGGAATGGAGGACCTTACGCTCCTGTTGGGATCTTATCTGCTAATCCGCTCTGTTAAACTCGATCGTTCGGGGGCCCTCTACATTATGTCGTGGGCATCTCTCATTTGAATGGAGGGTTCTGTGCTCTTGTCAGGGGTCTCATTTATTAATCTACTTGGTCACACTCGATCGTTCGGGGCCCTCCACACTGTGCCTTGGATAATTCCTATTTGAATGAAGGGTCACTGCGCAATGGTCGGGGTCCCATCTGTTTACCTTCTCGAGCACACCGGATGTTATGGGGCCCTGCACATTGGGTGTTGATATTTTAATGTGTACGTTCTTCGCTCCTGTCACGGGCCATCTGATGACCCCGTAGTCTGGGTGAACGGGATAATGTCCATGAGTTGTTAGCTTTTTTAGATATAACATTCTCGCTCGTTTGCCTTTAAAGTTGAAACTAAATTTCGACATGACATTCTTTTAGTTTAATTAGAACACTTCTGAGCTAGTAGCGTTTGCGTGTTCTCTGTCTTTCGACGTTGAATTGAATCTCAAAGGCTCAGCAAAACTGGCGGTTCGCTACAGATGCCACTAATATTTGGACTGGTTCTTTGTTATTGGATGGTTGCGATGTCTGTGTGTCGGTTAACATTTTTAATCATAATCCATCCCTTTTTGCCCTAACAACACCTGGAAGGCCGAAGCCGACCCTTTGTTCCTGATTCAAGCCATATTTGACAGGTTATTTTCTATGGTGACGGTACGATCCTTTGAGTTTATTGCATCTTGAGTCAGAGCGCTCCTTATCGTTTGACCAAAAATAACACCGTCAATGACGAGCAAAATTCGCTGGTTGTTCCAAAGTCCAAAACAAAGAGGGTTTCCAAGGCTTCCCGATTCAAGACGCATTTCGATATGACCTAGGTTATGGCATCATTTCGAGGTTTCGAAGCTGGTAAGTTTTCGTAATTGCGTCCTCCAGCGTTTGGCCTTGGAGGTCCACTTAAATTGGCAACTTAATCCAGACACATGCTACAATAGGCACAAACTGCTGGCACTATTTCAATATTTCGCAATGATTTGTTTTTTTCTATAGCGTTCTCCTTCACTGCAACATGAATTTCTCCTTGAAAGTCGAGGTACGTTAATAGTTTATTTTCTAGATTTATTTAGGTGCTGGCTGGTCAAAAACAGCGTTTCTAGTTTATAAAACTTGTCTCTAATTATGACTTAAGAACTTTGCTTTCTGTCGTTACTCATCACGACGTAATTTGGAATGTTCACTTGATCCTGGCGATCCAACGACCAGAGCGATTGAAAAATTGGCTTCAGAATCCTGACGTCCGAGGCCAAGATAAACTATTAGACCATTTGCACTCAGATGTAAGATGGCCTCAACGCAAATTGCAAAATACGTCACCGACTTCAAGAGCATAAACCCAGCCCCATTCCTTGAGCTTCCTGCGTCGGTCTGTGTCACTCACCAGGTCGATTGGTGATCTGGTTCAGCTGGAGACCTTGCAGGTCCACTATGACACCGCTGCGACCGACAAAACGCCCGAGGCGGCAGCTCTGCTCCGCACAGTCTGCCTTGAATGTCTCCAGAACCTGCAGACTGTCATTCAACCGTGGCAGCAAGTACATCGCTGATGTGAGCAGTGGAATCCAGCAAAGACCATATTTAAACCGCAATGCCATCTATTTTTTGCGAGCGAGGTGTCAAGACATATTTCCAGGTGGCACAAGTTCACCAAAAAGGTGTGCATCATGTGGGTAGTACCTGTATTAGCATACATGGTTATCAAACGTTCCGACCAGTCCGTTTGCAACAGAAGTTTTATTTGAGTACCAAGCATTTCAGTCTCTTTCGTTCTGAAACAGACGCTTATTTTGCAGAGCTTCTATTGTTAGAATGGGCGCAGCTGGCGGTAATCCGTGTTAACTTGTCTTTGCCTATTTCATCGCTTTTGAACGCATTCTAAAGCTGTATTTCGCAGCTTAGAAACCGATATGCTGCCTTAGGATGCTGCGAACTACGCAAAAACGGAAAGCAACACTGTCCTAGCCCACGCGTAAAAACCCATGCGATTATTTAATGAAAGTTCTGACGTACGGCAGTTTCCAACGCAACTCATCGATCGCGACACAGATTAGTAAGCTCCCAGGTTTCTGCGACTTGTTCCTGAGACGTTTTTTCTGACGGAATGCTTGTTCCAGCTTCTATTTGCTGCAGTGGCGACAATGTGTCTCGGTGCGCGCTCGTCCGCCGCCGCGGCTCGGTTGGTCAGAGCGCACGCGCTCCGATTCATCCACCCGTGGTGGGGTGTGTTCGAGTCACTTTAGGTGCTCATTGCTTCTTCCTGACTGAGGTAACCTGTTGCCAACAGTAGCGGCCACGCTAAAGGTTCGGTGACGTCAAAGGGCAGGGCGGACTGTGCTGGGAATGGCGCCACGTTAAGCTTCGTAGTTAAACTCAGCTCTTGATTCGTAAATTTACGATCAGGTGGTGTGGTCAGGGCGCGTGCAACAAGGAACGCTTTGTGTGGACACTGATCCCAGAAACACGTCCAGTAAGAAGTGGCACAGGACAAACGATTACTTTTCTCGTTTTCAGCCAACTGCCCTAGGGGCATTGCCTATTACAATGTATTCGACGGCGACGCGTAGTGAGCACGGGCTGCTCGCTGCGGCCTGAGAGCGGAACGGTACACATGGCGTGCTCACCCGAACTGAGAGCAGGACGGCACACATGGTGCACTCACCCGAACTGTGAGCGGGACGATGCACATGGCGTGTTCACCCGAACTGTGAGCGGGACGACACACATGGCGTGATCACCCGAACTGAGAGCGGGACGGTACACATGGTGTGCTCACCCGAACTGAGAGCAGGACGGTACACATGGTGCACTCACCCGAGCTGTGAGCGAGACGATACACATGGCGTGTTCACCCGAACTGTGAGCGGGACGATACACATGGCGTGTTCACCCGAACTGTGAGCGGGACGATACACATGGCGTGCTCACCCGAACTGAGAGCGGGACGGTACACATGGCGTGCTCACCCGAACTGAGAGCGGGACGGTACACATGGTGCACTCACCCGAACTGTGAGCGGGACGATACACATGGCGTGTTCACCCGAACTGTGAGCGGGACGATACACATGGCGTGTTCACCCGAACTGAGAGCGGGACGGTACACACGGCGTGCTCACCCGAACTGAGAGCGGGACGGTACACATGGCGTGCTCACTCGAACTGAGAGCGGGACGGTACGTATGGCGTGCTCACCCGATCTGAGAGCGGGACGGTGCATATGGGGTGCTCACCCGAACTGAAAGTGGGACGGTACAAATGGCGCGCTCACTCGAACTGAGGGCGGGACGGAACACACGGCGCGCTCACCCGAACTGGACGAGGTCGACCCGGCTCGCGCACTGCATCAGGCCTCTCATGTCTAGGCCACCCATGTTGAAGATGTAAACTGCGGGCGGAAAAATTTACACATTTGTATTTGTGTTTTTCTTGCAGGTAAGCAAGGCATGCAGGAAGTGCCTTTTCTGGCGGTATGGTTCGACGGCGAGAAGAAGCCCTTTTGCGAGCAGGCTTGGCTGCACTGCTGCTCACTGCTCAGTCTTTGAAGTTGGCTCGGTGATCACATAATCGCATTCCCACAAAGGTAAGTGCCCTTACGCTCTTATGCTCACTAATGCACACACACTACCACGCCACACCCGTGGCTATGAGTGGAGACCATCCATTCCATCAAGGTAATGTGCCTAAATACTCTGTTATAATTTGAGCTTCATAGCTCTTGGCTTAAAATCTCTCATGGAGAAAAATCCCAAATTACTCACAAATTCCACGACTCTCTTTTACGTGATTTAGTGGTGAAGCAGAAATGCGCTGAGGAAAGCTGTCCATATGCACGCATACAAATCATGCAAGAACACATATTTGCAAGAATCGCTCCCGTAAGCAGGTTCCACGATTCTGTTGGGCGCGTGGCAGTGCCGTTACGCCGGTTAGGCCACCCAATGAGCGAACCTCTGTGGCCGCCCCGATCGACGCCGCAGCTGCCGTGGGGGAAGAACCTGCGGATCACCTCCGGAGCAGCCCAGTCGCGCGTGTCGTTGACACGATGACGCCGCCTCCACTCCATGGACTGCCGACAAGGTGTTCGCAGCCGTATGTCGTATCATTGGAAAGTGAAGTACGGAGACTAATGACGTTCGTAGATAACTACAGCTTTATTGTTATACGGACATCGCGATTTGCGGCGCGGATTAGAGCCTGGAGCTGCATGCGTGCATAACTGGACGAATGCCAGTGACGCATGGTTATCAGGGTTACAATCGTAGACCAAGAACTGATAATCATAGAAAAAAATTCTCGCGGCGCCTGAGCCAAATGCACTTTACTGTAGGCAATAATGTGATGTTCAGCGACACCTATTAGCAACATATGTGGAAGCTAGCGTGTTTTAAAGTCTGTTCACGTAGGCCTTTTTTTTGGGGGGGGGCTTTGTTGCACGTACCGTGGTACATTGCCACTCGTTGTTTTTCTAGATGTTGTCCACAACAGCCCATTTCACTAACGGTTTTGGTGCGAAAGCTTTTAACCGTTTTTAAACAGAATTCAGCGTTTATGTTCAAATTACACAGCTTGTATCAGCGATTTTCGGCTAGAAATCTTTCGCAGAGATTAAACAAAATGTTTGTACAGACGTATAATTTCATAAATTTTGCGGTTGCCTGGCTATACGCAAAATCATGCTTTGATGAACAAAAATTGTGCCAGGTCTCTTCCTAACGTACTTTTCAAAACTAATAAGATACATTCGGTAGCATCTCTGTCACAGACACGACAAAGCACACTCCTATATCATTATAACGCCCCTGGTCATAGCACTGCAATACTCACTGAACTTATGTTGCTTGCAAGCTTTCACAAAATCCCATATAAATGATCTCTGAATGCAATGATCCTCAAAGCCCGCCTTGCTCCATACAACACCGATGTAAACAATAAAGGAGCATCCATCATCCAACGCGCTCGACCGATGCACGTTGCTGATTTCCAGGCCTAATTCCTCCTCGACTTTGGGTGAACTGAGGGCATGGGCTGAAGACATGTCTATAAAGGGTCTTGTAGAACAATTTCTTGGATGAATGAATGTGGATTACCCATTGCACATTGCAGAAACGGTGTGAAAACAATATTTTCCGGCACAGCAACATTTAAAAGCTGTTTCAGACTTTTTGTTGTATCAGTTCATAGTAAAAATGGCTATTATCAAGCTTACACCGAAGCGGCTAAACTTGTTTCAAGTGATAACCGTTTCCTTCTTTTAGTTCGTGTTTTGTTCTTCTACTTAAAGGAAATGTGCCGAGTTCGAATGCATTGAAGCAACCATGATATATAAAGTACGCTCACTTAAAACTTTTGGTATACTTTAAGCGCAAAAACCTGCTCTAAACAACCCAATTTCCCTGTTTAGTAAAAATGCTCCGCAAGACGTCATTGTTTGATTATATCGTCGTACAGTGCACAAAATTGGTGGAGGCCGGTGGTGTCAGAATTGACGACCGTTGCTCATGGCAATCGTGCCCACGAACGCCAGATAGTAGCAACTCGACGATGATTTGTTTTTTGGTTTTGATCCCGCATGGCTAATGAAAAGACAGAATTTGAATGACGCTATTATGGTGTGGTGGATGCCTGGGTGACTTTTAGAATGTCTTCCCGAAATATTCTGCATATCTTCGCGCGCATGTAGCCCAGAAACGAAAAGGGCTTAGGTCTTAGGAAGAGGAGGGCTGTGAACTTCACCAAATGATCTAAAGATCGCCATTTTAGTTCAAACCCCCATTTAAATGCGGAACACTCCCTTAAACTGCTTCGCTAACAGATGGAATTGTCGTCAGTTCTCTATGTTTCAGTCGTTTTATCTCCGTCCTGTAAATCCGCTTCTATGGTTTGTAGTATGTTGTTTAGCAAATTGTGCTTAATTTTTCTTCACAGCCTATTTGCACGTTCCATTTCACCTCGGTTTTACTTTCTAGCACCCTCAGCAATTTCCTGTCTAAGCTATGCCTCTAATGTATTGCTCTTGTGTAAGTAAGCGCGCTTTAAAGTTTTAGTTTAGTTTTAGTTAGTAAAGTTTAGTTGAAGTTAAAGTTAAAAAAGTAAAAAAGTATATATATATATATATATATATATATATAGACACTGGAGACTGGAGACTGGATGCCAAGATACTTTATAATGCAAATTCGCTTCTATAGTTTGTAATACGTTATTTATCAAATTGTGCTTAACTTTCTTCACAGCCTATTTGCACGTTGCATTTCACCTACTTTCTAGCACCCTCGGCAATTTCGTTTCTAAGCTATGCTTCTAATGCATTGCTCTTGCGTAACTAAACGCCTTCCACGACGTGATGACATCGGATATGCACTCAATATATATATATATATATATATATATATATATATATATATATATATATATATATATATATATATGCACGCATATGTAACACATTTTACGAGGACGGGGTTTGGACAAATATTCCACTCGAAACAAAATGTCTCCGATACACTATGCTTTCTTGATCACCTGTCGCCGTTTTTAACGGTTGAAACGACGATGCATTTTCATTAGAAGTCAAGGCATCAAATGTTCCTGGTATGATGGAATTATACAAAACCACCAGGGACGTAGTTACGCAAAAAAGGTTGGGTGGGGGGCTGACCGTGGAAAAAAATATATAATCCGCTCTCAACATTCGCCAACAAACGACTTGCCGCAGATTTGGCCAACTTTTCACAAAGTTAGGGGACTAGAACTCAAGTTGGGGAAGGTGTAGCTGCAACCCCCTTCCCGCACACACACACACACTGAATAGGAAACTGCACACCGGAAAAGAACAGCCATATCAGCAAAACCGCCGCATGCGCAACTTTTTTCGGCTTGTGTCTTTTCGGTAGGAGACTTCCTGCTTATGTGTGAAACATGCACAATAAATGTACCAGGATGATAAGCTTTTCAGTCCCGTTTTTTCAACAAAGCCACCAAAATTGTGTCTGTCAGCACAAAAAACATATACAAATGATGGAGCATTCAGAAATGGCTGGAAGCGCACGTGTGGAATGACAACTGCTAGCAAGCGGAATGCTAGATTTTTGACACGGTCGCTAACCATACCGTGCAGACCAAAAAATGTTGGAGTGCTTTGTTAGGACGAGATGCACCGTACACTTGCTCACCTTTCTGAACATGTCTTCTGCAGCCCCAGGATCATAATCTCGCGCTGAAACGTAACGCAAAGGATACAAACGATGACAAGCGACATCTTACCTGCGAGTCACTTTTACGCAGCCAACGTTGGCAGCAATAGCTAGAGGCACGGCGCAAAGTGTTAGGAATATGCATGGGAGAAATGCGATAAACATGTGCATCACGATGTTATTGTCAAAAACAGTGGATGCGTTCCAGGGAGCTTCGTCATACCGCGCTCGCAGTTTCATAACACAGCAGAAGCTTTTAGTACGATTTCTGTTTTTATGTGTCCTATGCAAGGAAAGAAAAAGGCAGGGCGTAAAAGAGTGAGAGTGATAAATAGCGAGAGAGACCGAGGAATGAGGTGAGGGGAGGACAAAGAAGGTAAGGGAGGGTAAGGGAGAGGGAGGGATGAAGTCAGAGAGAGTGAGAGAAAGGAAGAGAGAGAGAGAGAGAGAGAGAGAGAGAGAGAGAGAGAGAGAGAGAGAGAGAGAGAGAGAGAGAGAGAGAGAGAGAGGCACAGAGAGGCAGAGGGAGATAGGGAGGGAGATAGAGAGCCATAGAGAGAGAGAGAGAGAGAGAGAGAGAGAGAGAGAGAGAGAGAGAGGGGGGGGGAACAAGAGAGAGGGGGAGAAGAAGAAGAGAGAGATAGACACTCACCCACGAGCCACTGCCTGGAGGTGATCATCGGTGTTGTGAGGCGTGCAGTCGATGACGTCCTCTACCGAAACACGGAACTGGAAGGAATGCAGGCACGGCGAGGAAACGACAAAAGTATTTACCCTCGCCCCATAAATATGATGTGTTCGCGTTCGCCCTACGAGAGGGTCTGGGAGGCCCCATCTCTAACATCTCAAAACCTAAGTCAAACGAGAAAGGTAGTGCTAGAATGCTAATTTCAATTGTATCAGGGAGGTGTGACTGAAAATGATGAAGATGACTGTTGATGCGTCAAATAAGGTTATGTATGTTGAGCAACACTATATAGGCCCCTCCTGCGATGTCAAAACTAAGCACGCTACAGCAATGCGGAAGACAACGTCGTAGCTCTTTGAACACGACCAGATAAGCACTGTTAAACGTTGACAGGTGAAATCTTTAATATGTTACGTCAGGCCAAAAAGCTGATTGTTATTGGTGCATTGGCCCGTCCGACCAGACAATATGCGAGATGCATCAGTAGCTTAAGGGACCATGCCGATTGGAATACAATGTTTTTATGAGTGTCTGTCCTGCAAGAAAAATGTTTATTTGCCTTTGTTAAACAAGGTGCCATCGACATGGTCGTGAGAAAGAGGTCATATATCACAAGCCGTTATGGTCCGTACGCCATCTTCACACGATATGAGCAAAAATAAGTTGAACTCAGAGGGTTGGGTTTTCAGCTCCACGCCACAAATCGTTCAAAACTACCCCGGGAAAAGCTCGTGGGTCCTCTGAGGCAAGACCCCTTGTAGAGTGAAATTTAACGTACGTACAGCATAACTATAACAAAACTGGGAAGTAAATGAATGAGCGCTTGACTGCCTGACTAGATTTTACGGTCACCGCTCGTGACTGGCGTCAGCCGTTGCCAGAGATTTAGGAACAAGCACGAGCGCATTTGGGAACAGGTTTAGTGGGACATCGTTTCTGTTTAGCACAATCAAACAGCTCAATGAGCAATCCCGACTCTTTCATTCATCAGGTGTTATCATCTTACGACAGAAGGCTGTTGACATGTTTTCTGACGCTACACATATGTGTGGGGTAAAATGTGCCAATCTATCGCTGAAAGTGAGGCCCGAAGCTGGCTTGGTATATGATATTGTTAGTGAACGCCAAATTCATGCAGACGTATACTTTTAAGAAATACAATTTTACCGAGTGTTCCATTAATCCTGCAACGGTCTGCATGTTCCATTAAATAAAACATTAGTCTAGCCTTTCACCTACGCACGTGTTTTTGACACATCTGACCCGCTCTGATAACGCTGTCAAACTCTTTGACAGAAATACCTTTTTTGGTCATTACTTTATAGGACACTGGTAAGAGAACTTAAGCCATCAACCCGCCGCCTATTCCCCCCCTTTTGTGGTTTGGACCGTAGTGTTTTTCTTAATACCGTAGTAATTTTTTAAGTGTCAATAATCCTTGTCACAATACGCAGAAAATAATTTTCATAGCGCTCCGAAAACAACTACTGCCCATCCGCATGGATCTGGTGATGTGTTTGGTTTCATTGGAGCCAGCGCTTGACGTCAATTCTTTAGCATCAATATCCAAGCTGCATCCCTCACAATGGGCATTGGTTCGATTTCTTTATCCATTGCACAAAGTAATTTTCGTCTTAAAATTGCATGGACCTGACCAACAGAAGTTCGAGTAGGAAGCGATGCATTATCTAAGAATGAGACGCTTACGAAAGAAGGACACCACGTCAGGGAAGCAGCCAGGATTTTCCCAGACGGCGGAACCTAGGTGAGAACCCATCGTAAGGAACCAGGGAAGATCGCATATTGGTCTTGTTTGAATATATCTGTCCAATAGTGATTGCTTTCACTGTTGCTGAATCCAAATCGTAAAAAATGACCCACCCGTTACCATTTTCCCCAGTGGTGCCTGCAAAGACTGCGTGGCTCTCCTCGACGGGAGAGTCCCTCGACGGGAGAGCTCCTCGACGGGAGAGCCCCAGACGGAAGAGCCCCTCGACGGAGGAGTCCCTCGACAGGAGAGTCCCTCGACGGGAGAGTCCCCCGACAGGAGAGTCCCCCGACGGGAGAGTCCCCCGACAGGAGAGTCCCTCGACGGGAGAGTCCCTCGACGGGAGAGCTCCTCGACGGGAGAGTCCCTCGACGGGAGAGTCCCTCGACGGGAGAGTCCCTCGACAGGAGAGTCCCCCGACGGGAGAGCCCTTCGACAGGAGAGTCCCTCGACGGAAGAGTCCCTCGACAGGAGAGTCCCCCGACAGGAGAGTACCTCGACGGGAGAGTCCCTCGACGGGAGAGTCCCTCGACAGGAGAGTCTCCCGACAGGAGAGTCCCTCGACGGGAGAGTCCATCGACAGGAGAGTCCCTCGACAGGAGAGTCCCTCGACGGGAGAGTCCCTCGACAGGAGAGTCCCTCGACAGGAGAGTCCCCCGACAGGAGAGTCCATCGACAGGAGAGTCCCTCGACAGGAGAGTCCCTCGACAGGAGAGTCCCTCGACGGGAGAGTACCTCGACGGGAGAGCCCCTCGACGGGAGAGCCCCTCGACGGGAGAGCCCCTCGACGGGAGAGCCCCTCGACGGGAGAGCCCCTCGGCGGGAGAGTCCCTCGACGGGAGAGTCCCCCGGTGGAAGGGCCCCTCGACGGGAGAGTCCCCCGGTGGAAGGGCCCCTCGACGGGAGAGCCCCTCGGCGGGAGAGTCCCTCGACGGGAGAGTCCCCCGGTGGAAGGGCCCCCTCGACGGGAGAGTCCCCCGGTGGAAGGGCCCCTCGACTGGGCAGCTCCTCGACCGCGAGCCCCTCGACCGTCTTAACTCCCGAGCTACCATTAAAACACAAAACAATTATGTGACGCTGACGAGAAGCTGAGGCATAGATGGGTCAATTAGGGGACACACCTTATGCGTAAGTCGAACCTACTTGCGTAATGAGTCGGTCCGGAGCAGTACGCGTCGCCTCCTCGGTTCGCATGGTTGCCTCCCACCTTGCACCGACCAACAAAAAGCTGGACGCACTAAACCCACGCGGTTTCCGCCAGGGGTTCAGGTCCCGAGAAAGCCGCCTCCACCGTCCGGGTTCGCTCGTCAGCTTCTCCTCCGTCGCTCGCGCCGGAAGTCGGCGAGCTCCGGCGGCGGGCTGAGACCGGACCGGGTGTAGAAGGCCCCGCTGAACGGCGGCGGCCGCGGCCGGGCCGGCTCCGTCTGGCGGCTCGGCTCGCTCTGCCTCCGGAGGTAGACGCCCAGTCAGGCACGCGCAGAGTCGACGACTGCCAGAGGCCGGCTCCCAGTGTAAACTGTGGTGGCCGGCAGAGTCCAGCCAGATGCATACAAGTGAGTGGTGAGGCCCCAGCTTTTTCCGTGACCATGAGATGGGTTCTGGGGGAGGGAGGGTAGAAACCACTCTGGCGAGATGGTACACGCCGACAAGGAAAGAACAACGGGAAGACAGGAGGGAACCCGATTTTCTCATGTCGGATCAGGCGTTCAACTGAAATGCGGAAACTTGTCCCGCATGCGGTAACTTTACGTCCCTGGAGCTGCAACATCATCCGAACCCAAACACACTTTAACAGGTCCTGGACTGTGATGCAAGGGGGCATGAGCGCGGCAGGACATTACCCCGAAAAATATATCATGTCATTTTTCGTGAAGTATTCGCGTGGCTCCAAGATCATGGTAATACGGTTTTCTATTCAGCAATGCATATTAGGGCAGCTGATAAACGCGTGGTGGGCGTACACCATGACGTAGCTGTGCCTGTTTCACGGCTCTGCGCAGCGACCGTTCAGCATGCCATTACAATAGCGCTGTGGTACGGCTGGTCCAGGCCCATCCGCCCAGCTGCCGCTCAGCGTAAACGACGGGTCTGCAACGCCGAGCCTTCATACATAGCTTAGTATCTAGGAAACCCGTAAAATTCCTCGCTGCCACACGGACGCTTCGGTAGATTGTAACGCTGCACTGTGACGAAAGACAGTCAGCCTGAAGGTGCCTGAGGTACGCCCCGTAGATCGTGTGTCCACATGGCTCGTGTCACACCACACGGGTGCCAGCGAGCTCCATGACGGTGACCAAGACAAGCTGGCACCGCAATGGCTGTCACGTGGCATCAATTATGTACTGCAGAGTCACTCATTGAACACATAGATATTATGCGTGCGTTCGCAGCACTCCAACACCTCACGTTGCTATTCGGTTCCTGATTGAAGAAACTGCAATAACTCCGGAGACTAAAGCGACGCAAACTCCGTCTAAAATTTGGAAACCAAGCTCATTCAAAATCCCTGCGGATCGACCGCCAGGTCAGGTAATAACGTCATAATTGCTATGACGCTCCGTCACCTGCGGCGCTATACGGCCGACGGCGGAGCACTACAAGTCATAAGGCCAAAAAGGGGAACAAGTGTGATTTTGTATCCCGTAGTTGCTAGTAATCGATAAAATTGTCATCAAACTCCTTATTGTCTCAGCCTCAAAGAAAGTGTTTAAAATTTGTATGTAGTTTTGAACTGAAATAGCCAATTTGAAGATGATTTGGCGCAGTCCACAGCCCTGTACTTCTTAAGACCTGAACCCTTCTACTTTCTGAGTTGGACACCCACGAAGATGTGCAAACATTTTTAGGGATACTATTTCAAGGTCACCCAAGCGGCCATGACGCCATAATAGCGTCATTCAAATCCTGCCATTCCGCTGTCCATGTGGCAATCAAGGCCAAAAGTGTAATTGTCAAGTCGTTCATATCGGACTTTCGTGATCACGATCTCCAGATATAACGGCAGGCAATGGGCTCTCAGCCAATGTGCAAGGTACGGTAATGTAATCAAACAGTGACGTGTTGAGGAGCATATTTACTAAACCAAGAAGTTGTGATATCTAGAGCAGCATTTTCCACTTAAAAGTATACCAGTAGTTATAAGTGAGCGATTCTCATCACATCTGATGCTGATCTTTAAACGTGGAACATTTCCTTTAAGCAGTTGCAGGCTTTTTTGCAGGCTGACCCGTGGTTGTCAAATGGTGAGTGATCTTTATATACTAGATGTGTGTGCCACATTACAAATATTTTGTCCCCATATTGTTCTTAAAGAAAATGTTTTACACTCGAAGATATTAAAGCAAACGTCAGATCTAACGGATTAAGCTCACTTATAACTATGGGTATGCTTTTAAGTAGAAAATGCTGCTCCAGACAGCACAATTTCTCTGTTTAGTAAATATGTTCCTCAAAACGTCATTGTTTTATTACATCATTGTACCTTGGACAACATTGATTCAGAGCCAATTGAAGGCCGCTAGATCTGGAAATCCTTCTCACGAACGCCAGATATCAACGACTTGACAATTTGTTTCTTGGCCTTAATCATCACATGGCCAACGGGATAGCAGAATTTGAATGACATTATTATGATGTCATGGATGCCTGGGTAACCTGGAACTACTCTACACGGAAAAGTTTGGATGTCTTCACGGGCGTGTAGCTCAGAAACCAGAAGGGTTTAGGTCTTACGAAGGGCCGGGTTTTAAACTGCAATGTATGATCTTCAAAATGGCTATTTCAGTTAAAACCCCCATGCAAACCTGAAACGCTCCCTTTAAACGTCATTGATATCAGTGTGGCATTTATTCGAGAAAATCGTCAAACGCAATTTTGGCCGCTCAGTCACCGAATAGCTGGCAAAGTGCTACAGCGCTGCCGCAAACCGATGTCCAGCGCTCGATGACCGACCTCAGTCTGCACGCTCGGCGCCGACCTGTCCCGTGTCATGCTGCCGGCAGTCGGACGGTCAGTTCGCCGGACCCGAAGACAGCGAACGTCGGCTGGTAGCGACTCAAGCTATACCAGAGACGGCTGCGTCCCTGCGACGGGGGAGGCAACGCCCACTACGCGCCACCGCACTTGGGTCACCAGGCAAATCTGACACACGACACTGTTGGAATAGCAAGCATGAGTCAAGATATTTGTTAAAACGCCTCAGGGCTCGGAGCGTTCTAGTGCCAGGGCCGGTGTCTGCGCAGCAAGCTTTGTTTATCCATGGCGATGACCCTGATCCCGATGTTATCATAAAGTGACTTACGCGTGTTTACACATACACGCTGAGGAAGCCCTTAAACTTCTCATTTATGAGGTTGCTTTATCACGCCTACAGTCCAGCAGGCAAATAAGTTGCAGATATAAAAAGGTTATACGCTAGGATGCCACCCGGCAGCAGCCCGTCGTCTGACCAATAAATGCATGTTATTTTCAGTCCTGTTCAACACAGCACCGAAAGAATTCAGGGAAGCCGGGGCCTATCTTTTTGCTTGGACTGGGCAGGCCTCGACCCTTGCTTGTTTAAGTTGTCACAGCGGTCTAACGTCCCTTGTCTCGTGTCAGTGGGAGAGACGGTTAAGTTTCCTTTGGAAAATTGGTGTAAACCGTGCTTAGAGTGAAAAGGGTAAGGTTCTGTTCTAATGAAAGAAAAGAGGAAGCATTTCAGCAAGGGACGTAATTTTGGGCAAAGTGTCAAAGCTATTTGTCGATGTCATTGTTCAAGGCTCGCGATCTTCTCGAAATGCGTAACTCAACCCGTTCAAAATAAGAAAAACAAAATAATCAAATTGACAAGAGAGTGGGGTGTTGGAAACGTCGCGAACAAGACATCGCGTCCCGCATTTGACAGTAGATGAGATATCTAAATTTGCATCAGTGCCAGATCACAGACTCAGAAGGCACTAACCTGCCCGACCAAGTTTTGCTCTAAGCCCCAATAACAACTGACCAAAAGTCGACGATACTGCCTCGTGAAGTTAAAATGGTTGACACTTCTCTCACATCGAATACTTCACTTGTGTTGGTCACCTTTATCTCCATGCACAAACATTCAGTGGGCCCTGTTGTTAAGTGATCGTATCGCCGCGTAGCGTGTGCATAAGGATTTTCCACCTCCTCACGGGTGCTTACGGATTCCTCAACGCTTTAGGAGCTCTAGTGCCTCTCAGGCGTTGCAAACAATAAAAACCCATCGACAAAATCAGGGCACCGACACTGGCTGAGACATGTGGTGAAGCTGAGCTGTCATTACCTGCATTCGCATCGTTTCTTAAATGCTGCTTCTTGTTCACTATTCGCCTTACCTTATTCATATTCATTTCTTACAAATTCGTCGGTTCCAGACTAATTTAAGTGAAGGCAAAAGTAGACTCGCATTCAAGGGCAGAACATCCCATTGGTGCGTTCTGAAGAGCATAAAGGGCCATCTTATCATCATACAGGGCATCCCAGGGGCAAGGCCCCCTGACACACAAAGCTCTTCTGCATGTGGTCCGAAATGTAAGGCGTCATCGGCATTGACCACATCACAAGTCTTCAGTACATTATCATGTTAGTAAGACGTGAACATCCTCGCAAAACCCAATGCAGCATCCTATTGATGCGGTGAACACATGGTTCAAGCACCCGGTGAGACTGCGGGTGCTATATGAGAAAGTCGAATGCGTCTGCAGATCATGCCTGACTGTAGTCCATTTGCTCGACGTCATCAGTCATTGCCATGTACAGGACGAAGTCTGAAGAGTTCGCGACGAAGCAAGAATATGCACTCGTGTGGAGCAGGAGTGAATTTATCGTCGCAGCTGAAAGTATCCGAAGGGCCACATGGGAGCACTTCGTCAGATTATAACCAGACGCATCTAAAATGCAGAGTGTAATCGCATCTCGGCGCACTATGGAGAACATTCTGTCGAGGGAAACTGATTAAATTTGTCGATAGCGCAGACTTCCGCAATCGTCTCCTGAATGTGATTTTCTGGCGGTTTTTCTGTTGTTTCCTGATGACACCGGTTGCTGCTTCCTGAAGGTTCAGCTGCTGTTACATAACTGTCCCGATGAGCTGTTCCGCTGGTGTTTGTGTATATTTTTGGTATTGTATTCCACGTTCCGCATAGTGGTCTTCACCTTGTGCTTTCCAGGTAGAATATAACACCGTGGCCCCGTTCTCCATTTCTCAGCTTTCCAGTGTGTAACCCAACATGCTTCCATTTTACGCCCCACGATGATGAACACATGAAAGTTCATTTATATATAATACATTAAGAAATATTGAAAGTGTCACCAGACGTTGTGACTTATCATAATCGACGGCTTAAGCCGACGCGCAACATAGCAGTTCACTGTTCAAACCTACCAGGAATGGACACAATACAATACCCACAGGTCAACGTCATAAGGGCACTGGAATACACGAAAAGCAGATTATCGCAGGCGGCAATAGTGGCGGACCTATAGAAGCGGCGCACGTCAGGCGACAGTGATCACGGCAAACATTCGTCGCTTGCCCACTATTTCGGGCACAGTTGCTCAGCGTGCTGACATGCAGAGCATCGGACCGGAGCTAATCATCGACGTGTTTAATTCGGATGCAATGCCTCCATTGGTGAGGCCAAACAAAGCGATGGCACAAACGACGTAGTACGCCCAGAACGACATCCGGTTCAGTTCACACGATACTAATCCAGCCAAGATAAACGCGCAACACGTCATCGGTGCCCATCAGCGTCCCCCGATCTGGCACAGAGCCACGGAGAGACATGGAATATACCGAGCCGATCACGCTCGGGTTCTGTCCTGGTACTCGCTGGTTTGGCTCCGATGCCAAACTTCATGACCTGACTTGACCGTCACCGGCGACGCTTCGATTCGTATTGACCTTCCTCACCAATGTGACGTCAAGTCGCAAGAGCACCGCTGTCCTCGAGGCATTCGTGGCGACAAAGCGTGAGCGCGATTCAGCAGCATCCGCATACAATACCGATAAAAGGATGTGGGTGGCGTCAAACGAATTCAGACAGCAGCGTCACCTGTGAGGCAGCACGACAACCTAAAGTTCTGTCGTCATCTTAGACGTGAGGGCGCGCACTCGCTTAGCGTTGCAGTTTTTGCAGAGGACGTGGCCGTCTAGCGGGTAACAGCCGCGCCCCTCGGCCTCCGAGGAGAGCACCAGGCCACAGTCCTGCGGACAGCACAGTCAGTGTCACAACACGACAGCCCGAAGGCTGATCGCCCAGGGCATGGTGAGCGACAGCTGAATAAAATATAAGCTAGGCTGGGTGCTTGAAACGCATGCAGTGAGAATCCATGTTTAGCTACACCGTTCTAAGGTAGGGTTTGGAGCCGCCCTCGTGAGACCTCTCCATTATTGTGTTGTGGCGTCTGCTGGCAAAATCGCGTCAAAAATGCGTCCTCTGCAACCTCTCACTTCTCAGGAAAAGGCAACCACAAATGGCATGAAATGTTCGCAAACAAATCATCTAATAAAATTTGATCTTCTCTACATTGCTATCTACAAGCCGAACGCCTTTCGGGTAAAACATCAGTATCTGCTACCATCGCTCAGCCAAGCCGTATACTCCATTTCACCCAACGCCCATGATAATTCGAATACTGTTCGTCAGGTGGCATTCCGGGCACTCCCCAGTTGGTCGTGCAGTGCATCCCAGCTGAGGCCCGGTCCTATCTGCACCGCATTCCCTGCCGTGCCAGGGCCGCGCTCGGCCCGCACGTGTTACCCCCAGCGACCCGCCGCGCCTGAGCGGCCCTTCGACGTCATGCTGGACCGGATTGTGTCACACATACCAGTTATGCCACGTGCTGGGAGCGACCGCACACACTAACTTACGCGAAGCCATAGAAAAAACTCACCACCCGACGCCACGTGTGGGGTGTTCGGGTGCCAAAGAGTCCAAACCCCGATAAAATGGACAGCTCATGACGCATGCGCTCGCGACCGCTGTCGATGACGTCCACCACAAGACGGTGCAAGCGAACGACGACGGCAGGGGACCAGCCCCAGCACCGCCACTGACCTCACACTTGTAGCAGAGCACGTGGAAGCTGCGGTCGAGCGCCACCACGCGCACCGTCTCCTCCTGGCCCAGCTCCGGCATGATCGGGTCGTTACACACGCTGCACTTGGGGGCGAATTTCCTGCGCACGGCGGCCGAGGTCAGCGACCCGGGATCACCGGCCGACCGCCGAGTAAAGGGCGGGGGGGGGGGGGGGGCGACAAACGAACGCGGCCGTCAGCAGAGAGCGGATCTGAAGCTTTTTGGTGGAAGGTGTTCCGGGTGGTCCTCAGATTTGTGTTTGACTCAAGCTGGATCGTGAATCGGCTGACGAGCCAATCGTTTTGGGGTGAACCGCGAGCGGAGTCGACTCGTTCCGAAATACGTCGCTTTGAGCTATGAACTGTATTACTTCTTCTTAAACTTCACGAGCCAAATCGTGAGCCGATAATTTCTGACAGTGTCGTGTCAGTGAGCCATAGGGCTCAACCTGAAATGGGAACATAAAGAAACACAGCACGGCCCAGACAAATTAACAGACTATTTCATGGTGTTTAAATGCACCGCATGAGGCGTTAGTTACTAATATTTTTGCAAAATCAACGTAAAGCAGCCAACACCTTACTTTTGATCGTGATACAAATTGTAAAATCTCGACCAGGAATCAGGATATCATTAACATCAGCCAGGTACACATCCGGGGGCGGATCAAGATTTTGGTTTGGGGGGGGGGGCAGACTGTTCTCGTGAAATTTAATTTTAAACACGCAGTGGCTCTCACACCCCCAACACAGACATGCGGATAACACACACATACACAGACACAGACACACACACACACACACACACACGCACGCACGCACGCACGCACGCACGCACGCACGCACGCACGCACGCACGCACGCACGCACGCACGCACGCACGCACGCACGCACGCACGCACGTGTATATATATATATATATATATATATATATATATATATATATATATATATATGACACGATCCCAGGGCGGTGGCTGGGGCCTATGTCGTCGTGCCGCGCGAGGAGCGGCTGTGCTGCTCTTAATCACGATGCATGAAAATGGACCTACTGGAGAGAGCGCCAAACCAGCATATGCGCAAAAACCACAATAAGGAGTCCCACGGTCTGGCATAACTGAAAACACACTATAAACACACTACACACACACACTGATTCTATAATCATGTCAAAACAAATGCCGTTTCAAGTGATCGAAGTTATCTTCATCATTGAAAGAATGCATGACTTTCACAATCAGCTTAGGTCCTGCATCACTTTGGACCGGTTCAGTCACCCAATGACAGCAAGGTGATTCGATGCCTTAAACTTGCCCTGGTGCCAAACTGGCTGGAAAAACGATTTGCGTCTGTTTCTGCGTCTGCGTCTGCGTCTGCGTCTGCGTCTGCGTCTGCGTCTGCGATCTGCGTCTGCGTCTGTGGGTTTTGCAACTTGACCTGATATTCGGATGTATAATGTGAGCTGATGGTTTACCTTTGTTTATGTCTCGTATTTCGCCATATTTAAATGCTTTCCATTGGACTGTCAAACATTGTTTTGAGAATGGGAATGGATGTCCTTGAAACGTTAGCAAGCTTATACTGTTGTAAATGACCGTAGGCAAATTGGCTTATTACTCGCCGAAAACAACGAAGGATTTAATTCCAACAATCGAGCAGACGCGCAAGAAGCTGAGTAAATGCACATTTACCCTCGCATATAACAAAACTTGCATTAATGAAAGCATGCTGCCTACGTACACGAATACATGTACATATGTGCATATCTATATCTATATCCATATATATATATATATATATATATATATATATAACTGAGTCGAATAAAAACAATTTGAGCGGCTATGAGTCATACCCTGAATCGGATTCCAAAATACCTGAGCCAGTACTGAACCGGCTAAAAAACTGAGTCAAACACAAGTCTGGTCGTCCTGGGACTGGTTTCCCGCATTTGGGCAACTGAAACATTAGCGATCGGGCGAACATAGCGAGCGAGCGAGCAAACGAAACATAGCGAGCGAAGATGGTATTCCATTGGTAGTACCTCACCTCCCCACAGCAACACAAGCTAGACTTCATTCCACATCAGATCAGTAGAGGGGGGGGGGGGGGGCTCCGGCGCGCGCGCACACATGCATACACACACATACACAAAAACACTAGAAAACGTCAATTCGAAATCGTTGGTCTCTACGCACACCGCCTCACACGACCGCACGTTCCACGACCGTCTGTCCGCGTCACCTGTGGAAGTCCTCGATGCAGTGGATCTGGTTGGCGGCATCGACAGTGAAGCAGACGCCGTCCAGCGAGCGGCCGCAGACCACGCACGTGAAGCACTGCGGGTGATACGGCTTGCCCGTAGCGCGCAGGATGCGGTCCAGGATCGGCTTGGTGCACACGCTGCAGCGCTCCAGGGTGTCCTGGAACGGCCGGCGACCGGTCATCGGTGCCCCGGCGCCGCTGACGGCGGTCGCCACTCCGACTGCAGCGGGGCGGCGGATCGGGACCCGGCGAACCAGTGGACTCGGCGCGCTTTAAGATCGACGTTGGAAACCATGCGATACGAGGACAGCGATGTACCGGTTAGGCGGATGACTGCTCTGTATTATTATGTATGGCCGCGTGCATGTTTTGTGTTGTTTGTGAGGGTCATCCGCTCGACCCAGTTTGTTATGTGTTGTCTGAAACAAGGGTCAGATCTGCGTGAAGCTGCCTCACAGCGTGTACAAATACAAACAAAGGTGATTCGTATAAATGCCAACTGACATGGGCGAGGTTGGGTGACACCACGAGTGCGGTACGTTTCGTTATTTTTCTCTGCCCCGCCCGCATCCCTAACTCAGTTTGTCAAACTTCGCCGCTGGGCAACACTGCTGATCACGCCGGAAGCAAGACCGAACGATGAAACAGAGCACAACGCACAATAAGCTTAGTTTCCGACGCTGCACCGGCGATGAATACCTTAGCGCAATGCAGCGGACAGAGCTCACGGAACTTTTCCGGACATGTCACAACAAACTCACTGCTCATCAGGAGCCTCCAGTCATTTGAAGCGTGCTTACACATTGTCTTTGTGCACACACATTGTCAACAATTCTGGCACACTCAGAGGAGGAGAGTTGGCTTGGCCCCTCCGCATGGTAACACCCAGGGGCTTCGAGCCATGGATTGGCGCGTGGTGCTCACCATGTAGCACTCCTCACAGTGCGGCTTGCTCTCGACGGCGAAGAACGGCCGGCCTTGCAGCAGCACCTGACACACGTGGCAAGAGAAGCAGCTCACGTGGAACACCTTCTCCATGGCGGTGCAGCCGGTGCCCTCGCCCACCACCTTGTCGCCGCACTTGGTGCACATGCCTGCGGTGTCGGCCGCGCAGGTGAGAACGACAGACCGGACAGCACCCGTCAGTGACAGAGCGGATAGCAGCCGTCAGCGACAGGGCGGACAGCACCCGTCAGTGACAGAGCGGATAGCAGCCGTCAGAGACAGGGCGGACAGCACCCGTCAGTGACAGAGCGGATAGCAGCCGTCAGTGACAGAGCGGATAGCAGCCGTCAGCGACAGGGCGGACAGCACCCGTCAGTGGCAGAGCGGACAGCACCCGTCAGTGACAGAGCGGATAGCAGCCGTCAGCGACAGGGCGGACAGCACCCGTCAGTGACAGAGCGGATAGCAGCCGTCAGTGACAGGGCGGATAGCACCCGTCAGTGACAGAGCGGATAGCAGCCGTCAGCGACAGGGCGGACAGCACCCGTCAGTGACAGAGCGGATAGCACCCGTCAGTGACAGAGCGGATAGCAGCCGTCAGTGACAGGGCGGACAGCACCCGTCAGTGACAGAGCGGATAGCACCCGTCAGTGACAGAGCGGATAGCAGCCGTCAGTGACAGGGCAGACAGCACCCGTCAGAGACAGGGCGGACAGCACCCGTCAGAGACAGGGCGGATAGCAGCCGTCAGTGACAGAGCGGATAGCAGCCGTCAGTGACAGGGCGGACAGCACCCGTCAGAGACAGGGCGGATAGCAGCCGTCAGTGACAGAGCGGATAGCAGCCGTCAGTGACAGGGCGGATAGCACCCGTCAGTGACAGAGCGGATAGCACCCGTCAGTGACAGAGCGGATAGCAGCCGTCAGTGACAGAGCGGATAGCACCCGTCAGTGACAGAGCGGATAGCAGCCATCAGTGACAGAGTCAGTGGGCCTCTGCTCGCTGAGCCAGCCACGCTAGCATAACGGACAGCACGTCCGAGATAGTCATTACTAGGGTTCAAAACGCATTTTTAACGACAGGTTAGGTACTATGTAGCGTTGGCATTGCTCACGCCGAAGGCCGCAGGGGGTGACGAAACTCTTGGCGGCGAGGCGGGACTGAACACCGACTTTATGCGCACCGCAGTGAGGCGAACGCTCCTACAACTGAGCTGCGTCATCTCCACCAGCACACAACCCAAGCGTACACGCACGCACGAGCTCACGCATACGCACTCACACATGTAGGTATGCACGCACACACGCACGCGCCCATGCACACCTACTCATCTACGCACTCACGCAAGCGCGCACGCACGAGCGAACGAACGCCAGACGACCGAGCTCTCGGAGCGCTCACCGAAGAAGTCTGGCTGGGGGTTGTCGAGTCCGTGCACCAGCAGACTGGTGAGCGAGTCGACCTCCGCCTCGCGACCGGTTCGGTCCGGGTTGGTGATGGGCTGACTGCTGGGCGCCGGCGCCAGGCCCTGCGCGCCTGGCGCCACCACCGGCCCGTGCAGCGGGTACGGGTGGTGCGTGGCCGCCGACCCGCCCGGCCGCGGCCGCACCGGCTCGTAGATGGACTCATAGGTGGAGCTCTGCGGGGCGCGCGTGGGCGGGTGAGGGTATGAGCACTGGGCTCGCCTGACCGCGAATTGGAGGTCAAGCTGGGTGTGCATTGGAACCTCCAACTCCTCCAACTCGAAGGTCGGGCCGAGCGTGTGCAGGAGGTTAGAATATGTTCTGCTTTCAGGCTCTTCTTGGCCTCTCCCTCCCCTGGTTAGGTACCGATTTTGCTTGGTGAAAATCCTCCCTCATCCCTTGGTTACGCTGAGCTAAGCGTAACTTCCAGAAACGTAGCATCCGTTTGACTCCTACATGAGCTAAAGGTGCGAAGCAAAGTCAGGCGTGTTGCTTGTTTTCAGCAAAAACGAACGGTGTCCTTCGGCTTTGAGGTCGTACAACCTTGCCAAAAATATGTCACCGTGGTTTGCAACAATATCTGGGCGTTACGTTCCACTGCCCAAACTCCCTTCCATTCCCAGGCTTCGGTTACGCTCCATGACTCCCTTTCAAAACATCGCGACAGGTATTAGTTACGTGAAACCAAAATCACGTGGTGTTTATCTCCACTCACCGTTTGCGACGCCGGTGCGTAGGTCGCAAACTGGTTGGCTGGGTACGTCGGCGGCGGCGCCCCCTGATTGGCGCGCCGTAACTCGGAGTAGCTCGAACTGACGGGAGATGGCGGTGCCGGCAGCTCTGGCGGATACTCGGACGAGTCCACGTATAGATCGGGTGGGGGAGGCGGCGGGAGGTCGTCCTCGGCCGTGGCGGGATACGCCGCTCCTGGAATCACCCGTCGCCTTCGTGGTACGGGGCGATACATTTGCATTCACTGAAAAACAAACGCGGCACCACGCAGGTGGTACAAACGAAGCCATAAGTCACCGTCGTTCCTTGAGCTCCCAAACACGGCTCCCAAGCGGCGCTTGCATATTTATGGCATCAGTTTCGAGGACACGTATGGCCTAAGCCCGCATGCATTGCTCACGTTATCCAAGCTGCCGATAAACTATCGCATGAATACACAGCTTGCATCACACCCTCGTGGCACATGTCTCCTTTCAACGGATCGCGACATATTGCTACCATTCAGCAATTATCACGTCTCCATTTCGCCACCGCCGAACCTCGGCCCAGCCTCCGACAACATGAGCCGGCAGCACACCAGCGGCCCTGACTCCCACCCGGGCCCAGCCCGTGTCGGCACCGTACCTGCCTGGCCGTTGGTGCCCAGCTGGTTGTAGGCGTACTGCGAGGGCATGTAGGGCGGCGGCGGCGGCGGCAGCTCCTGCACGCCCGGCTGGCCGGCGGAGAACTCGGGCGGCGGCGGCAGCGGCTGGCTCGGCAGCCGCTGCAGCATCGGCGCCGACGACACGGCCGCCGTCTGCGGCGACGACGCCTGCGAGCGGGCAGAGCGTCAGAGCGTGGACACCGGACCGACGGAGGCTGGCCTGGCCGAGTGGCCGGCGGAGCGTGCAGGTGTCGTCTCAAATCAAATCGCAGACGCAGTGGATTGACGAGGCGCCACGCGAGACCGGCTTCCGTGTAATAGGACGGATTCCCCTGACAAGGGTGAGTGGGAGGGGGGGGGGGAGGGGGTGAGGGCATTAACCATCGACGGCCAAATTAATGCATGGTTTGAAAAGATCCCTTGGAATTTTCCGACTGGCAGGTGGAACCACACTTAGCCCGCCGTTTTCACCCCGCCACCCCGCCCCGACCGAGACCCATTCGATTAAACAATTCATGCGGCGACTTTGTTTCGATGGCAATGAAGTTGATTTCACCACGACCGGAAACCCATTCGAGCAAACAATTCATGAGGCGACTTTGTTTCCATGGCAATGAGGTTGATCACCCGTTGAACATCCAGCGTGGGTGGCATGGTGCAAACTGGCTGGGTTGAAACAAGATATGCGTATTTGGGAATTATATTTTGGGGAAATACATAAAAATGCCAGAAACCTCCAGATCACATAAAAAATAAGGACATTGAAAATGGGCGGCCAAGCAAAAAAAAAAAAATGTCACAAATGTGTGAAGAAATTACCATATCTGGATCTCCCCCGACAAAGGTTTTTATCGGCACTAGTTGCTTAAGAGCAATTGTGTTATGCTTATTTCGACAACGCCCAACGACAGACCAATGACGCCCATGGAATCTGCAAGATCTAGACCTGGTGCACTCGACGAGCAGCAGGATGTTGTGTAACCACATTTGAACAGCAGACACCAGCCACATTCCTCGTGTTCAACTGCTGGTGACAGAGGTGTAGTTTTGAAAAATACATTGGGGGGGGGGGCACGAAAAATGACTCATGGCCTCAAAACAGAGAAAAAATTCCCCGTATCTGACCCATTTTCTTTTCCAGGTTAGAAAGCTTCAGCCCCCCCCGCCCCCAAATAAGTAGAAAGCTACACTCCGGGTGGGCGAGATAATCCGGGGGATAAAGCAGACTTTCTGAGGCTTGTTAATGTACAGACTCGCACAAGGTCGGGCTGACCATCTCCCTCGTGCGGTTAGCGCGACAAGGAGACGCCTGGCCACACTAACGCCTCATCTAAACGTGCCACTGTTCTCCAGTGACGTCACAGAGCGGCAGCCGTCCGTGACATGTTTATTTGTGTTCTGCAGCTGCAAGCGCCCAGGGAGCGACCCGGGTCTATTGGCCTGTCCTTGGAGTCGCCGGGTTCATTAGATGTCTATTGGGGGCGCTGAGCAGACCGATGCTGAGGCCGAGTTTCAGCCTCGGTTCCCATAATGAAAAGCATTGAGCATAAGAATACCCCTGTTCAATCCTCACCCAAGCACGAAAGCCGAGCCACACAGCAGCGGTGACGCAATATGAGCAAAACTACACGACACAGCTAGGGCGGACCAGATTTCACAAACGGAAGGAAAGTATGGAGGAAAGGAAAATGGGGTTCATTTCACCTTCCGTACCAGCGGGAAGTCCTTCCGTTCAAGCGGACAGTGCTTGCGTGCGCAAGGGTATGGTGCTCCGCAACGATGGGTGCCCACTAGTCAAAACTCTGTTATTTTCTAGGACTTTCCTGACAAGGCCATTAAACCTACAATCCCACAAAGACATTCTGCTGTTAATATCATAAGTCTGGAGTACACTCAAACTGTTATGCACCCTGAATGATTTGGGAGCCCTGGCCAACGTATCGGAGTTCAGCAACCTTCCTTCACGGCGAGACGGCCAAAACGCTATCCTGGTGGCCGCCAGTCGTCACAAATGTATCCCACTCAACTAATAACATGCAGCTCTGAATGCGAACAGCGTAGACGGACCAGCGCAAGACGTTTAAGAGGAGGCGGATCCTCGCTCACAAGCTGTTCATGCCCTCACCATCAACGGCTTGCACCTTCAACTGTAATACATGCCCGCCATGTGTCGTCACAGTAACAACGTAGCCTATTTTTTCCAATGGCCGCAACATTAATGGCACTGCAAATCGTATTCCCAAGGCGTGCGTCCGTTAACACTACACTTGAGGTTATGAAGCGGATATTCGAATGGGCTGTAGAGCAATTCCCTGGTTGACGAAAAGTATTGCAGACGCCCTCAAACGCATGGAAATCGCCACGGCTCACGAAAGCTGGTTCCAGGCGTCAACAGAAGCTACTTGCCTGTGATCGTGGATTCTCGATCGACCGTTAGCGCGATGATACTCACCAAACAACTTTTCTAAAGCTCTACATACCAGCGTGAGAAGAGGATTGATATATCAGAAAATAGCTGTTCATCCGCATGAAATACCAAACACCTGAAATATGGCCATTTGTATGTTGCGTGCAGCCCTAACGCTATGGCTAAAACGCTAACATAATGAAATAATTACTTTGGGACTCGTCTTTCACTGGGCCGATCTTAAAGACAATGCTCCACATTAAAAGATATTGTAGAAAGTATCAAATGAAATTAAAATAAGCTCACTGATTACAATCGATATACTTAAACTTATAACATCTCCACGATTACATTTTTTGTTCTTGATGGCCGCATACCCAATATAGTGGCAGGATTTCAATGACGTCATCATAACGGCATGGATGCCTAGGTGACCTTCAAATAGTCCCCCCAAAACGGTCTGCACATCTTTGCGGGCGCGTGGTCCAGAAACCAGAGGGGTCTAGATGTTAAGAAGGGCAGGGCTGTGAACTGCACCCAATGATTTTCAAGATGGCGATTTCAGTTCAAAACCCCACACGAGTGTGGAGCTCCTCCACACTCCTTTAATTTAAAAGCTGCAGAGCTCTTACAGTCAAAAGGAATTGTGAGACTTAACTACAGTTTTACACCACAATGTGTGGAGAGAGGAGGAGCCCATTTCCTCGTTATTAACTTGTACATTATTTCTCGTAATTTCTCGTTAGTTAACCAATAATCAAGTGCTGGCAGTGACGGTGTCAGCGTGGAGACATGCTACCCGGCAGTGAGTGCAATGGGAGCCGGAACCTGCCCCGGTGTAGGCCGATCATTGCTAGTTCTAGGTACAGATCTGGGCCAATTCACCTAAGCTGGCGCCGGTCCGGCGCCGGCACTCGGTTTTCATATCACTCATCTCAAGCTCCGGCTTCCTGCCATTCGCCGCAACTGTGAATGGCAGACGCAAGCGGGTGAATATAGAACCAAGGGGCAGGCGCGAAGGCAGCGTTTCTCTACCTGTGGCTGAGACTTTTTCGGCTCCGGCTTCCTGCCACTCGCCCTGACTGTGACTGGCAGACGCGAGCGGGTGAATATAGAACCAAGGAGCAGGCTCAGGGGCAGCGTTTCTCTACCTGTGGCTGGGGCTTTTTCGGCTTGGGTGGCACCACGGGCGCCACCTTGCGGTTAGCGCTGGCCGTGTACTGGTGCGGTGTCTGGTTGCTGATCTGCAGCTGGCTCAACGCGCTGTCCAGGTTAAACATGCCGCCACTCATGGTCGCTGTGGCCGCCTCTGAAACAGGCCGCAGTTCAGTTACCACACGCAGGCACAGCGGACGGCGTTCGGGTCAGGCACACATAGGGGCAGCCTCAGACAGCGGGACACAAACGCGACGGGCAGTTCGCAGTCCACAAGCCCGGCCTGCTCGCGGAATGGCAAAAACTATATCTATCTATGAAAAGAGATGACGAAAAAGGCATCAATTCTGAGGAATGTTGCAATTTTAGTTGCAAATGGCGTTTGGTGCGCGACGGGCTCATGGCAAATACATTTTACTTGGACACTGGGACCATTATGCTACGTGAGCACGTGGGTCAAGCAGGTGCATAAAACTTGCTGGCTCTCAAATCAGGTCAGGTACGCTTTCGTCACATCGCGAAACACATACGCTTTAAGCCCAATTTCAGACAACTCTTCGTGACTTGCACCCAACCTGGTGCACTATCTGTGTTTGGATCCCCACCGCCCTGACGTTCTGGAACTGGAGACGCACGTTTGGATCCCCACCGCCCTGACGTTCTGGAGCAGGAGACGCACGTTTGGATCCCCACCGCCCTGACGTTCTGGAACAGGAGACGCGTGTTTGGATTCCCACCGCCCTGACGTTCTGGAACAGCAGACACCGTTTGGATCCCCACCGCCCTGACGTTTCTGGAACAGGAGACGCACGTTTGGATCCCCACCGCCTGACGTTCTGGAACAGGAGACACGCGTTTGGATCCCCACCGCCCTGACGTTCTGGAACAGGAGACGCACGTTTGGATCCCCACCGTCCTGACGTTTCTGGAACAGGAGACGCACGTTTGGATCCCCACCGCCCTGACGGTCTGGAACAGGAGACGCACGTTTGGATCGCCACCGCCCTGACGTTCTGGAACAGGAGACGCACGTTTGGATCCCTACCGCCCTGACGTTCTGAAACAGGAGACGCACGTTTGGATCCCCACCGTCCTGACGTTCTGGAACAGGAGACGCACATTTGGATCCCCACCGCCCTGACGTTCTGGAACAGGAGACGCACGCTTGGATCCCCACCGCCCTGACGTTCTGGAACAGGAGACGCACGTTGGATCCACACCGCCCTGACGGTCTGGAGCAGGAGACGCACGTTTGGATCCCCACCGCCCTGACGTTCTGGAACAGGAGACGCGTGTTTGGATCCCCACCGCCCTGACGTTCTGGAACAGGAGACGCACGTTTGGATCCCCACCGTCCTGACGTTCTGGAACAGGAGACGCACGTTTGGATCCCCACCGCCCTGACGGTCTGGAATAGGAGACGCACGTTTGGATCGCCACCGCCCTGACGTTCTGGAACAGGAGACGCACGTTTGGATCCCCACCGCCCTGACGGTCTGGAACAGGAGACGCACGTTTGGATCCCTACCGCCCTGACGTTCTGAAACGGGAGACGCACGTTTGGATCCCCACCGTCCTGACGTTCTGGAACAGGAGACGCACGTTTGGATCCCCACCGCCCTGACGTTCTGGAACAGGAGACGCACGTTTGGATCCCCACCGCCCTGACGTTCTGGAACAGGAGACGCACGTTGGATCCCCACCGCCCTGACGGTCTGGAGCAGGAGACGCACGTTTGGATCCCCACCGCCCTGACGTTCTGGAACAGGAGACGCGTGTTTGGATCCCCACCGCCCTGACGTTCTGGAACAGGAGACGCGTGTTTGGATCCCCACCGCCCGGACGTTCTGGAACACGAGACGCGCGTTTGAATCCCTACTGCCCTGACGGTCTGGAGCAGGAAACGAGCGCACTGCCAATGCAGTCTTGGAATTTCGCTTTACATATCCCTTAGTGCTGCGGTGCCTCGTGTTAAGAGCACACAGAATGCCGCAAACGACACTGGTTATACCGTAATAACGTGGACGGTGGCACGAGCCTTGAATAACTGATGCGCAATCTCGGGCTTCCATTAAATCACCGCAGGCATGAGAAGACTAAGGGGTTCCTAGCTAAGACGCTGGTCTACTAGGAAGACGCGAAGAGCGCACCTGGACGGAAACGAGTAAAAGCCAGCTTATTCATTTGCAATTAAACATGCTTTTAGTGTGAGTGATCGCAAACGAATTTCACCATAGATGAAATTAGAAAAGCGAACCCACTTGTCGATAAATATCACTGAGTTACTTCATCATCGTTCGCGACTGCGGGAAACTAAATGGCAAAATGTGTCAGTTTACCATTTTCCAGAAAAAAACAACATCGGCCCTAACACCCAGATGATTTCAGGTGGGGCTCTGCTAGATAATAAAGGTGCCGAACGCCTTGAATTCCTCGAACACCCGCTCGCAGTCGAGAAGCAAAGAAGCATACGGAATGCATTCCAGTCTGCGGACGGCGCCAGACACCGTTGTACCGTCCCACCGACGCCGTCACCGGATGCGCGTTAATGTTGTTCACAGGATCACAGCCAGCAGCCTAGCCAATGGGGTACGCATTCCCCGCATGGCAGCGGCCGCGGGCTCCGTCGTAAAGCCAGAGGTCAGCGAGAGCGCAATAGCAAAGAGCCCCACCCAAATTGTGACATTCCATGGCGATCCAGAGTGGTATAAGGACCTAATGAAAGGAACGCCCATCCATTGTGTACATGCGCCTTGTGTCCGCTAGACTTGGCGACATATCATCACGTGAGACGCCGTAATTCGGGCAGCATTCAATTTAATGGCTAGGGCGAAGAAAGCCGCAGCATTCACTTACAGAAGATCGACCTCATGCTGACTCCAGTCGGGAATTGATGACTATAGATGCTCATCTCTTCAGCATCACAACTAGGCAAGGCACGTACGCAAACACACAAACCCGGGTCACTGTTGTGGGGCAGGATGGAGCGTCGACGTTCCATCCGAGGAGATGGGCTAATCCAGATGCAGACCCAAGCCAAGCATGTGTCCAAACGAGACGTCCCTTGATTAGACAACACGCATACCACAACGTTGTTGACTTATTACCTTCCAAGCACCACAGGCCAGGCATACACTACCACGGTCGACACAACTAGGATGATCCTCCCGACCAACCGACCGTCGACATTAAGAGTCCAGCAGCCGGCTCCGTCCAGAAGGAAGCAGACTGCTATGCCCTGAAGTGACAGTTTAACCCGTGTTCGCAGTCTGCTCTGTCCAGTAGTCCACAGTCTGCTCCGTCCAGAACCCCGCAGTCTGACCGCCTGCGTGCCAGCTGTCTCCTGATGCCCGAAAGCTTGCAGTGCATCCCAGCATTGCGTTGGCAGCCCGTTCCGCCAGTGCGCCAGGAGCCCGCCAATAAGCTGCGTCCAAACGCCCGATTCAGGCTACATGAGATGATTGTTTCTGAGCATTTGAGCCGGCAACACTCATGGGGCACGGACAATGCATAGCGCAAGTCCGCGTCCTCCCCCTCCCCAATGCTCCGCTGCTCCAGCTGAGTAATCAGCGCTGAGGCTGAGGCCAGACACCGCAACAAAACCAGTTCACAGCTGGCTCGGGCCCGCCGGCCGATGAGTCAGCCCGAGACCTATGCACGCTTCCACGTGGTGTCAGCCATTGGCCAAGCTCAGATAAACATCACGCTGCGGCAGCGCACTTCCTCTCTCGCGCGCCGAGAATGGGGTGAAGGCCCCCCGCTTAGAAAGCCTCCGGTGAAGTGTGGCGATGTTTTTGACCCGGCCAAAAACCGCCTCGCACGCCGCACTCGGCCAGGGCCAATGGCGCGGCACCGGCAGCTGTCGCGCCAGTAGGTCGACCACTGACGTCACCAGAAGCAGTTTTTGTCGGGCGGGGATGGTGACGGGATGGGCTTGGTGGCTGGTCCGAGTTGCGGACAGATTGCAGTTGGTGACGGGCAGGGTTAGTGAGGGGTCTGGGGTGGTGAAAGGTCGGGCTTGGTGAGGCGTCGGCTTTGGTAACGGGTCGCGGATGTTCACGAATTTGGGTTTGCGTCGAGCGGGATTTGGTGATGTCGAAACAGCTGACGGATCCGGGCTGGTGACAGGCGGTGACCAGTGACGGATGGTGGCTGGTGGCAGATATCTTTGCCAGTCTGGTACTTTGAAATGCAATTAAGTACACAAGTGGAGCATTAACACGCTTAGAGCGTGTCCAACTACGCAAGTGCCAGCCACTGCTTCTGACCAATTGGCTGTCAGCCGGCCGCGACGGTGGCGGCTCTCGTCAGCCACGGCAGCCACACGCCGCTCCCGCCGCCACCACTCGCGACCCAATCACAGCACACAAAACCGGCCCTGTCCCAGCGTCCGCAGCCGTCACGCGCGCGCGTGACGCACCGTCACGCGGGGCGGCAGCGCCGGCCGTCAGGGGACAGCATGACGGGACAGAGCCGGGTGCCGGGCGTGACCTCAGCACCCAGCCCCCCCCCCCCCCCCCTCGCCGGGCGGCGGAGGGACAGAGCGGGTCGGTGCGGGCTGCCCGGACCGGGCAGACTCCTCCTCCGTCGCCCCTGAGCTGCTAGATCAGGGGCAGTTGCTCCTCATCCGCATCAGAGCTGGGCTAGGCACTTCCGTCGCGTGCAAACGCCACCTCAGCGGCGCCGGCTGGACCCCGCAGACCACCCGCGTCGGTGACGTCACGGCCGGATGTCCCTCGCCGTCATTGGTGGCGACCCTCGGCATCCAGCGAACAACGCATGCTGATGATTATTGGGGTGCATAGCTCGCTGACAGCTGGTGCTAAGTTGCGTTCATTTAGCCCTAGAACAACGGACAAGGACTGGCTGGTGCAAGGAGGACTGCATGATGGCCACACAGAGGGCTGGATGGTCGTCACATAGCCTGGGGCCAACGGGGACCAAGCCTGAGGTGTCGATTTGTATTCCTCTGTGAGGGGCGGTATCGCTCTCGCCCCTCCCCCTCCCCAATGCAGATTTGAGCACTTAATGAGCCCTTAATGCACGTAATGTTGCGCTGAATCCTCACTATTTGTTGCTAGAACATTGCAAAATTGAGTAAAATATGTTTCTACATAAACACGACGGACGGACAGGCCGGACAGGAGCCATGGA